ATCAAGCTCCCTTTCAAAGGCCACTTCACTCCCACATTCAATCCACTAGAAGTAGTTCACGGCGATATAGTCGGTCCAATCTCACCATCCACCAATGGAGGATGTCGCTACTTTCTCACCCTGGTCAATCAGCACACCGGTTTCATTCACATCACGCTTCTCAAAGAAAAATCTGATGCGACTAAATACATAATCGATTTCAAAACTCTCTACGAGAAGCAAACCGGACATGCCATCAAAAAGATGATCACTGATGGAGGGGGGGAATTTTGCAACAATGAGCTTGGAGAAATCCTCAAGAGCGAGGGCATTCAGCACAACGTAGCGCCTCCATACACGCCACAACACAACGGGATTGCCGAGCGAGCGAACAGGACAATCATCGAAATGACTCGATGTATGCTCTTGCAATCAAACATGGCATCGGAGTGGTGGGGAGAAGCGGTTCAAACAGCAGCTACCATCACCAACTGCTTACCTTCCCTGTCAAAAAGTCGATCTACTCCAAGACAACTTTTCCTGAAGCAACAGCCTAATCCCAACTTTCTAAAACCATTCGGCTGTCAGGCCTGGATCCTGAAACCGAAAACTAATCGTGAAGGGAAGTTTGACGCCATATCATGGGAGGGCACGCTTATTGGTTACACCAATGATATGTCATCCTACAGGGTTTTTCGTCATGAAGACCGCAAAGTAGTATTCTCAAGACAAGTGAAGTTCAACGAGAATGTATTCCCCACTTGCTCAGCACTCAACAAGAGTCTCGCAGTCTCCGAAGAAAATCTCGATGCGCTGCCTACTTTTTCATCGGAGCCAGTTCTTCCTTTTGAGGAACAAGCAACAACCACCGCCGACAACTCCAGCGACCCACCGGAAACTGATGAAGTCTCTCCAGTCCACCTGATTGATGCACCATCCAACAAAAGATGGGTATACGTCAAAGATCATCAGCCAAATCAAAACATTACCAGCGCTATCGATGAGAGCAACATCATCGAAGGCAAACGAACTCGATTCACAACCTGCCTTGTGTCAACGTCCATTGACCCCAAATCGCACAACATGGCGATGAAGAGCCACGAAGCCTCAAAATGGAGGGAGGCCGAACTTAAGGAGATCAGCAACATGAAGAAACACGACGTGTGGACTGAACGGAGCCGACGCCCATCTGACGAGCCCATCTCCTCAACTTGGGCCTATCGCAAAAAGCTCGGACCCGACAACCAAGTAGTCGAGTACAAAGCCAGAATCTGCGCGCAAGGTTTTCGACAAACCTACGGAGTCAATTTCGAACTGAAGTACGCTCCCACTGGCAAAGCGGCGTCTCTCCGATTGCTACTCTCATTTGCGGTCAATCAGGACCTTGCCATCCATCAACTGGACGTCCGTAGTGCGTTTCTCACCTGCCCCCTTGAAGACACCGTCACCCTACTCCCTCCGCAAGGCTATGAATGTCCGCCGAACACAGTCTTTGAACTGAAAAAGGCCATTTATGGCTTGAAGCAGGCCTCTCTGGTGTGGTACAAGCGGCTCGCAGGTTTCCTGAGTAGCATCGGCTTTACTGCCACTGTCTCGGACCCCTGCGTGTTCCATCGTCCCATCTCCGGAGACAAACCCCCAACATGGATATATGCCCATGTCGACGACCTTGTTGTCATCAGCAAAGATCCAGCGATCTTCCGAGCGGAAATAGAAAAAGAATTTGACATTAAATACCTCGGCCAGGCATCCTTTTTGCTTGGCATGAACCTCGACCGATCCCCTGACACACTCCATGTTCATCAAACTCAATACGTTGAACGCAAACTTCTTGAATTTGGCTTGGACAGTTCCCCACCTGCGTCCTGCCCCCTCAATCCGAAGACTCATCTCAAGAAAGCAACCCCATCAGAGATCGAAGAGCTCCGCAAACTCAACGTCAATTACCGATCCATCGTGGGGGCCCTCAACTACCTCAGCATATTGACGCGCCCCGACATCTCCTACCCAGTCAGTGTCCTCTCGCAACATCTGGAGACCCCGGGTATCCAGCACTATCGGGCTGCCAAACAGGTGTTTCGCTACCTTTCCGGTACGAAACAAGTGGGCCTTGTCTTCAGAAGGAAACCCAGACTCTCAATCAGCGCGCACGTTGACTCTGACTGGGGAAACTGCCCCGACACCAGAAGATCAGCAACCGGTTATGTCATCACCACTCAAGGCCAGACTCTCTCTTGGAAAGCCAGCAGACAGGCAACCGTTTCGCTCTCCTCTACTGAGGCCGAGTACAAAGCGCTTTCTGACCTGGGAAGGGAAATAGCTTGGCTATCCCACCTCCTATCAGAACTACAACTAGGATACTCCCCCATCAACATCCCAGTAGGCGTCGACAACCAAGGTGCAATTGACCTGGCTAGAAGCGAAATCTCGCAAAACGGATTCCGCACAAAACACATGGACATTTGACTACATTTTGTTCGAGAACTCATCACCAGCAACCTCATCAAACTCCACTACATCAAGACCACATCAAACTCGGCCGACTTTCTCACAAAAACCACCGGCAGAGTCACCATCAGAAGGTCGCTATCAGCCATCGGAGTCACCATACCCGAAGTCTCTGCTTCTCGCCTAGCGGCTCAAAGCAACCCAGCCTGTCAGAATATGCCCGCTAGGGCTGAAACAGCAACCAAGCGTTGCAAAAGCCAAACAGAATCCAAGGCGACACAAAGTAAGCCTAAACATGTAACACAGAATATACATGACACCAAACTTATGTCAGCCTCTTTGTTTCAGATCCAGACGATGAAACTAGCAGCCACAATCCTAGGGGAGGAAGCCTCATCAAACCCACCACCAAGGATGTGACCAAGAACGAGCGTAACGAGAAGAGACGCACGGCAACACCGTGAGTACTTAAGCAGACCTATTCCTCATCCAAACCAGACTCCAGAACTCATCGCTCACATCGTTCACAGTTCAATTGCAAACAGAATCAGTCATCCCACCGGACCAAAACTTCTCGCTAGAATAAACCAAAACCACAACGAGTAAGTCCGCGACCACTGCACCAGACCATACCTACAGGATCACAGCTGATCCCCCATGTGATTGAACAGACCACTGCCCGAACCAGAAACAATCACAAGTCATCCATAGGAAACAGGATAGGCCAGCCCATAGCACAAGACATAGTAAATCACTCGCCCATTCCTGTCCCAACACAGATCAGCGATGCTAACTAGACTCATGATCTAAACAGATCCCTTTGTCTCTTCATCTTTATCCCACTCAGCTCTATCATATCTCAACTCCTTCTCAGTCTCTATCTCCACCTAGATACCACACTGTTTCGGCACAACCGAGCAGTAAGCCAACATAGCCAAGTAGCACGAACGATCAGTTCTGCTCTTAGGTAATTTTCTCTCTCACTATATCTTTCTCTCATAAACAAGCCTGTGCATACCATTGTTACATATTCAGTTCATTTGTCTAATCGCAATAAAATACTCTTAGTTGTTTGAAATCTTACAATATGTGAATGAAATATACTAAGAAAAATCACATTCTCTTAGCCCAGTTTCAGGTCTTGGGGCCCTGGACTGACAGTCAACAAACGGCTAGTTTGCTGGAAAATTATCAAATTTTGCAACAGTACTCAATTTCTCAGCCCCAAACACTACATGTCTTGTGAGCATCTGTGAGCTGTTGCGAATGCAGACCGGCCAATAAGAACCAGACTCAGCATGATCTCCGTCGTGAGAGTGGCGGGTAAGAAGAAGTCTCAATTTTGCCAATACAGACTGGCTAGTGATGATCAATATCAACAACATCTTTGCAAAACTCGACAACATATCTCTTACAAGTGGAAACCGGCGGGGGGAACCAGGCAAAAGCAGATATTTCTTGTAAATGTAGTCCCGTTGTTAAAAATAAGGCATAATAAGGAATATCTTGTGAATGTGAGCCCGGTAGGAAGAATAAAGCACAAGAAAAGATTTCTTGTGACAGTTGGTTGGCTGGTAAGAATAAGCCTCAGTAGTATATCTGTTTTGCCACCATTAATTCGACTGCGTAATAACTTCCTAATTTGAGATTCTGATGTGATTTCAATTGCAAGTCAATTGTTAAGATTTGGTTGAGCAAACCGTTGAGCGGTAAGTTGCCGGCAACTCAGAGTCAGTGTTTTGACAAAGGCATTGTGAATTCCACTTGTGACAAAAATTTGATTGGGCATTCATCAGCCAAACTCATTTAGTAGGCTAGTGTCTATATTCCTTAGCCAAAATCAATTGGCTCACATATGTAACAAAGGGTAGAGCTTTGGCTAAAAAGTTGTTGTTTAACAGTGAACGGCTCTGATTCACTACGAGGGGCGATAGTAGTATAATGAGAGCAACTCAATGGAATACTCAACAACTCAATGTGATACTCAACGGCCAACTCCTGTTCTACAAGCTGCTGAGCGGAAGCTTTTTTAACGGAAAGCCCTACACCCCCTTGATGGATAGAGTTACTTTGGCTCAGGGATGAACTGAAAGACAAACAACCAGCGTGTCGCGACTCAATGCTGCAGCAGGATCGTGGTGAGCCTTTCTAGCCAATTGCTGCCCTTCAATACGGCGTGTCTGTCCCTTTGTTATGGAGCAGCAGCCGCGACTTGTGTCTCTCGACCTCGAATATATAAAGGCCGTCTTGCCAGCTCTCCTTCCAGATTCCTCTTTCTCTTCATCCCTCCAAGAACTTCACACTCTCCATCAAAATTTCAAACAACTGTAAGTGAATAACTTGATCTGACCTCCTCCTCTCCACACCCACACCCTACTACTACACTAGTCCTACTCCTACTCCTGCTTTCAAGTTTCACTACCACTTCAACAAACAAATACTACCATGACCTGGACCACTACTACCCTTTCCTGTGGTCAGCTTGCGCAAAGACTGACTCATCTCCATAATTCTTTCCTCCTGCTGCTTCTCTCCAGAGCCCTATCTTGGTTGTTACTCTCTCCAAGTGCCCAATGGGCCCCAAACCCCAGTAAGTTGCTATTTAACTTTTATCGCCTTTGTTCGCTGAATGCACCAATAGAATCGCTCTCTTTAATCTTACTATATCTTAATTTTTTTCAGCCAAGACGGAGCCGCGGGGCCAGCCCCCCCAAAAAGTGCTCTGGCAGCGGTAGGCTCCTCTCCCCGAACCGCACCACCTGGAAGCTTCCCAGCCACCCGCCCCCACTTTCACCTTCCAAGCCGGATGAGGCCGACAGCTGAGGTGACCCGAAGCAATGCCATCCGTCGCCCTTCCAGTGGACCACCAAACCGCAAGGACTCCGAGGTTAATGGTTCCTTGGCCCTCGGCCTTACCCCTACCTCCCCTCCACCTCCAATTCCTCTCACTCAGATGCCTCCCATGAAGACCTCCACTCTTCCTCTTGCCCCTCTTCCTCCTGTTCTCCCAGTTCTCCCTTTTCCTCTCCCCCCTCGTCGTGCACGAGTTCCTCACCACCGCAACGCCATGATCATCTTGGCCCCTCAAGACCTTCCTCAAGAGCTTCGGGACATCCAACTCGATGTATCAATTACCCAAGATGACTCAACCTGAATGCTCTCATACTATTGGAATTTCATGTATGTCTTCTCTAGTATTTTCCATTGATATTAGCGACCTTATTCATACTAATGCTCTATCTTTCCTATATAAAAACATAGTCTCATTTGTAGCTTCTTAATCATTTTCCAATATTTTCTTTTTATGAAAATTAGCCTAAACACCTTCTAAGCCTAGTTTCAAAGGCCCCGATCACATCTTATACATTTTGGAAATATCATTTCTTGTGCTTCTTTTCCAGCTGCTCAATCTTTAACCAATATTTCCTTTCTATGTAACTTAGCCTCTCAACACCTTCCAAGCCTAGTTTCAAAGGCTCCGATTATCTCTCATTCATTTAGCGAAGCACATTCTCATCTTGGACATTCTTGTTGTATTCCTAGCTATTGACTCGAATGTATCACTCCATTCATTCCTGAAAATTGGATCATTGAACTCAAACAAATTTTCTTCAACATCCAATATGATCCACTAAAATCTCAAAAAATTCTGCTGCAACAGTATGATCTTCTTGGTCCTTCCAGAGATTTGGGACATCCAACTTGATGTATCAATGATTCAAGATGACTCAACCTGAATGCCCTCATACTTTTGAATTTCTGGTATGTTTTCTCTACTCTGGTCATTTCCACCCTTTATTCATGTTAGTTCTCAGAAAGCTGATCCATACTCATTCTTATCTCGTAACTAGTATATGCCCCCAAATTTGGGGAGGCTGCTTGTTTTTGCCCCGGATGTTGGGGGTTTCTTGTTTGAAGGTCCTATGGTGTTATAATAGCCTTTGCTTTTGAAGGTCGCTATGATTGTAAAGTCCTAGCAAATGTCGGAAATGACATTGAATTGTGAAACATTGACGCCGGCGTTAGAAGCCACATGAGAAACAATAGAAATACTGATTGAAGCCAGACGGTTTGTTTGGTCCTCTGAGGCTTTTTTTTGAAGCCTGACGGTTTGTTTGGTCCTCTGAGGCTATTTTTTTAGTTATATGTAGATTGAATTAAAATTTAGCCCCATTTCTAGCTGCTTAATCTTTATTTGATGTTTGTATTTGTATTCAAACTAGCTCCAACACCTCCTAAGCCTAGTTTCAAAGGCTCTCATCAAATCTACAAATGTAAGATGGACACGTCTATTGTCCACCTCTTGAATATTGTATATCAAGCCTAAATCCAACAAAATCTCCCAATGTGGAGTGTTTTGATTGAATCCAAATCATTTTGACACATGATGTGAAATGATGAATAATAATTTTTTGTTTTTTACTGGATTTTTGTGGAGTGAAGGTAGGGGTTACCTCAAAAGTAAAAGTTGATACAGGATGGATGAGTCCCTCTGGAAGAATCCTTACACTGTGAAAAAATCTCGTGTAACTGGCAGCAGTTGACATGTGGGAACTCCAATGAAACTTGTGTTTCAACTCAAATGTTACTCAAGAGTTACACCACCAGTGCAGTTGGATGTCCCAGTGGCAGGGTCCCGGGGGATGGCACCAGGACAGCAGCCCCCACAGATCAGAGCATCCCAGGCACGTGCTCCTCCACAAATAAAAGGCCATCCATGGGACGTCCTTGTGGAGCATCCACGTGACGTCCCCCCAATGCATCCCACTGCTGTCCTGGAGGTGTTTCAGGGCTGTATCCTCAAAGATTTGACATCTGCAGGATTTTGGAATGTGGTGTCTCTGAGCCATCACCAAGACGGCATTGCAGTATTTTTTTGGCAAAAAATTGTCCTCCTTGAGGCAATTGTGCAGCACATACACATCCACATCCACCAGCAAGCTCAAGGATACTTACTGCACAATAATCACACACCACTGTGCAGACAGTGAATCAAATAGTGAAATGGTATGTATTCTGAATAACACACTGAAACATATGATTGGTCATTTACAACAACAAAAAACCTACAAAAATATGATTGAGAAATGCACCAGTGCAAACCAGCCTGGAAAGAAACAAGCACTATGTACAAGAGAAAAAAAAAGTTAACCAACCCAAAGGGGTTCTTCAGGCCCTTGCTCGTCATCAACAGTCTGGTGCACTGAAACTGGGGGCCACCCTCCCTGGGTGTCAGCCTCATTACAGTCGGTTGGACAGCAGTCGCTTGACAAGTGCCCAAGGCCGTGGTTCAAAGCCTGCTCGGAACCGCGGAGAGATTGCCTCAAAAGTTGAACAACAACACCTGTGGTCAGTAACAGAATCACGGAGGATGGGAAGACAAAACAATCTCACCAGGTCTTGGTCAAGAGGTCCCGCGGCCCGTTTGGTCTGGCAAAGTTGAAGAAGCCCCCCTTTTTGGGCAAGCTGGTAGTCGTCCAACGTTCCCCTGGCTACAACAGACTGTCGGCCAGATAGGACCTGACAGAGATTCTCGGTGGGTCAACTTGGTCTTCATGCTTGTGTGAAGGCCTGGAGTGTCTGGTGCTGCAGCCTGAGAAGCTCCGCTGGTTGCTCGGGTTGTCACCCGAGTGCGACGGCCAGGGGTGTCTGGGGCTGGCGAGGGTGAATCATTGCTGCCGCGATATTAGCTCTCTGCCTCTGAGGATACTACAACCGACATGTCGTGAACGAGTTAGATTTGAGATAGGGTGATGGATACTGGGTTGTAAAAATTTGGATTGGAGATGAGGGGATTGAGATTGGGTCAATGACCAAACAGGTTTGAGGTTTGGGCAAAATGAGGCGGTCCACGTTGGCCCACAGTTGAAGGACTTCAAATTTGGGCCAACGTGGACCGTTTCCACCGTTGCTGATTATTGATTCGGAATGACTGTGCGACAGTCATTCCGAAAGGAGTTGATTGGTGCTGATCCACCATTCAACACCGGAAACGGACAACTTGGGAGTCTTCCTTGTTGCCCAAGGCCGACTCCCAATTATCAAAAGACAAGGCTCATCGGCCTGATGCCGTTCATCAGAGCTGCACGGCCTGAGGCCGATGAGAAGAAAATAATTATTTGCAGCTGTCTTGAGGGGGAGTCTGCCTTGTTGCCCAAGACCGACCCCCAAAAATGAAGACAAGGATCATCAGGCTGATGCCTGTTCATCAGATCTGAACGGGCATCAGTCTGATGAGAAAAAAAAAATTGTTGGACCACTGTCTTGAGGGGGAGTCTGCCTTGTTGCCCAAGGCCAACTCCCAAATATGAAAAGACACCAATCATTGGCCTGATACCTGTTCATCAGAGCTGAACTGGCATCAGGCCGATGAAAAAAAAGAAAGCTTCACTGTGTCTTGAGGATCGGTGCAGCCGACTCCTCATTGAAACCACCCATGGATCATTGGCCTGTTCATCAGAGCTGAATGGGCTCAGGCCGATGATAAAAACAAGAATTGCACTGCTGTCTTGAGGATCGGTATATTGGGGAGCGGTGATGACCTGGGGGCGGCATGTGGGTTGCGGGGATGGCTCAGGGCTGCTCAGGGACAATGACATCCCTGGGCCGCGCTACATTTTTTAAGTGGGACGTGGCAGGGATGCCAGGCATGGACAGTGATGTCCTGTGGACAGCATCCCGGCCCAGGGACATCTCAGGTACAATGGCATCCCTGGGCCGCGTCAATTATTGCAAAGTGTGATGTCCTGGGGACGGCACCCCGTCCCAGGGACATCTCAGGTGCAATGGCATCCCTGGGATGCACTGATTTTTGTGAAGTGCCCTGCGTGTGTACTTGTGTCAAACCTTGATGCACAGTGACTGTGCATCATGCACAGTGACTGTGCATCATGCACAGTCACTGTGCAGAAAAAATCATTTTGGAATAATTCTCTGTAATAACCAAGTTACAGTGTAACTACCCCGCATGTCAACTGCAACCAGTTGAATGAGATTTTTTCACAGTGTTAATTATTCAAGATTTGTATGATAACATCTTTTGGGAAGCATTGCCTAAATTTGGCTATCAGAAATCAGCACTCAAACAAATAAACAAACTTATGGTTTTACACAGAGTTAATCAACTGAATTCCTAAATATCCCAAGAAGTAATATATTGAGATACATTGATATCTTGATATGGCACCCTTAATCTTTTAAATTTTTCTCTTATGTTAAAAAAAGCAAGCAACATGAATGTGATTTTCTATTCTAATGCCCAATTCTTTTTGAGAAAAAAAAAACACTCACATACCTTTCAAAAGGTGGACAGATGAAAAGAAAAAAAAAATCCTAAAATAATTGTTTTTGCACACATCTTTTAGAGTGCAGATGATCTATTTGTAAATTATTTTCATTCATTGAATGAACTGGTCTTTTAGTCCATGGATGGTGAACACAGATCCTATAGAGGGTTTGAAGTATTTTTCCTATCAATAGAAATATGTAATTTTACTGCAAAAGAAAAAAAAAAATGAAAGTTTGATTATGCTAATGGAGAAAAATTTTCTCCAATATTTTCTCAGAAAATATGCTGATACCAAGTATTTTCACAAGGCAGGGTCATTGTAATGAGGGTGATCATCTTTTGGTTCAATACATATCCAAACAACTAATTAGTTTCCTGATTGGAAGGTCTTTTTAACATCTACTCCTTGGTTAACTGTAATTTTATATCAAGTTAAGAAGCGATCAAATATGGCATGTAGCATATTGCAGTGGGAAGGACTTGAACCAATCTCTTTGTCAATGGCTGAAAGGAAAATCATTAAGGCTACGATTGCCCCATCCAACAAATTCCTCGTTTTATGTATTTCATAGGTATCAATTTGTGCATCCAAATATGGAAACGAGGGGCACATATCCAAGAGGCATAGCTGGCGACAAGCATAACATCTAGATCACACATAGACTGCTTTCAAGCTTTTGTTTGTCAGACATGATGTGAGAATGATGGAAATGAAGTGGCGAGCTAGTAAGGTATTGATTTAAAGGGACGTCCGATCATACCAATGAAAAGCAAATGAAAAACGGGTGTGTGTGGAAATCAGTATATAAGAGGTGTCACATTGGGATCAAACCCGTAGTATCAGACGCATAGAAGGATTGTGTTCGGTCAAAGAATGTTTTTTTAACAGAGATAGTCATGTGCGTGATGATCCTCAACCATGTCTCCGGTGTAATGAGCACTCTGTCGCGTGGATTACTGGTAATTGCCGCTGTGAGCGTCTATTATCATCCAAATTGGCCACCGATACTAGTTTCGAAGCTTCGTGAAGTGAAGAAGTTTTGCTTCAAACAAATTGCCAGTGAACCTGTGTTCGCAATGGAGAACTCATGAGTAAAACAAATCTTGTGAAGTAACAGTTCCACTTATCTAAAAACCTGGACCTACTTGCAGCACTCCCTGAGATAATGGTGCAAGTGCCTTGAAGACGGCGGGGGATAGATCGAGGGAGTCGCCTGCACATGATGGACATTCTATATGCGATTGGGAGGTATACACGCGTCAGTGAATAGTTTGACCACCAGCCGATGGTTTTTTGACCTCGAGCTGATACTAACTATCATCCAAGATACAGACCACGTGCTTCGAGCCGTAATAAATTACAAGAGACTTTCCACAGCGGTGTCCTTGCCCAAAAACCGATGCACCAGCTGCGCAAATGGCCTGTGAACTGGTATGGTATCCACCGCATGCGGTTTGCGCTCCGGTGGCAACCTCGTCTTGAAATGCGCGTTTAGTCGATTGGAATGAACATACAAAGAACATTTACGGTGCGGGTTTGGACTGGAGAATACGAGAGCTGACATACAATAACGAGCCTCCCCGGAAGCGTAGTTACGGGACCGATGGCTAAAATGTCTCCTGATCGCTGAACACCACGCGTTGCTAGTCATGATGAGCAAGCAAGTAACGAGAAATCTTCCATACATTTTATCTTGGTGCACTGGTTCAGACTCGGAAAATGAAAGACGAAAGTTGGAAATAGAATGATGGTTGACGTTGAAAGTACAGCCAAACATTCGGATGGACTACCAGTCAGACAAAATCATAGATGCATGAAGCATGAATGCTTTGGGGACAGTCGGGGGATTTTACCAACTGACAACAGATGCATTTTCGTAAAGGTTGGACAAATCATATCCTGCAAACTGCTGTGAAGGCGTCTTTTTCAAATTCCGGTTTGGGTGATCAAACGATTTTCTTCTCTCTCCCAAAAGCATGAAGTGGATTCAGTTTTCATTCGAGTTTACAGGATCAGCGAACTTGTCACGAGGTGACAAGTCCGCACCGGCACAGCCATCATACTTTAGCAAGTAGACTCTAGTACACATGGTATTTCCTCAAAGTGGTACAAAAGAATCTAAATCTAAATCTTAAGGATCCATAGGAGAAATGGGCATCAATCGGGGAGAGACTAGGTCATTTCAAGTGGGTTGGGCGCATTACCGATCGTAATGCCTCCGCGCCGCCCATAGCACCAAAAAAATCAAGTGGAGTACCTGGGAGTCGAATCCAGTACCTCTCGCACGCTGCGCAGCCCGATGCTAAGCGAGCGCTCTACCGATGAGCTAGAACCCCAATTGCACACACCACGGACAATTGCATGTCGGTCCCGCGCGGAGCGACATCTGGGGGTTTCATTGGGGGTTTCGTGCGCAGTCACTGCGCCTACTGCCGCAGTCACGCACGCGGATTCGTCAAGGTGACGGTTACATCCGCGGCGACACGCAAATGACCGTGGTGACAGACACCATGGTCATTTGGCTATCGGTCCTTACGTAAGCGACATCTGGACGAATCCGTGTGCGTGACTGCAGCAGTCTGCGCAGTCACTGTGCACAAAACCCCACTGAAACCCCCAGATTTTGCTCTGGACAGCCAATTTTCTGTGGTGAGAGGAGTTGGTGCCATCTCAATTTTATTTTACAGCTTTGTCATTGCAGTGACCGTGGTGCAATACAACAAGATATTTTCTTACCCAGTTCATATGTGCACTGCATATCTTCTAGGTATTTCTGTGGACACGGTCTTGACAAATGTAAGCAGGTGAAGAAGCTTCATGACAATATGAAAATCTTTTCTTAGTGTTATTTTGCCCTATGACAAAGCACCCCATGAATCTAAGGGAGACGGAGACGGTGTCTGTCCATAAAACAAATATCACCAAACAAATGATATTGCATAACAAAAAGTAAAATAAGCAATATTGTTTGCAGAAAAATTTGTTGCTCATCCATTGCATACAGGGAAGAGCCCATCTATTTTTGGGCAAGGAGCTTGAGTGAGAGAAGAGAGAGAAACAAGGTCAAGCCAATGGGTCTCATGATCTGGCTAACAATGATATCACAGGGAAGAAGCCAGGCTCTAGAGTAGTCTGACCAGAGCTGAGTATGGCTATCTAAGATATAAGAGCAACTCCACCGCGACCCCTATTTCTGGGCCACTAAATTCTGATTGTTGGGACTGCAAAGCCAGCTTCACAGCCTGAAAGTGCTACGGGATACACCGCAAGAGTCTTTAAGGATTTGTGAAAGGATGAGGGGTGTGACTGTGAAGTTGGAACCAATTCATATTGAGGCAGTAGAGTTTCACAAGCTAGTTGTTATGTGAAAGGGGATTGGGAGGTTGACAGAGGAGTTGCTAGGAGTCCCTACATGTAGGGACTTGGGCACAAAATTTAGGGACAGCCGTAGATTTGAGACACAAATAGCAGCCGTGGTTGCTCATGTTGAGTCGGTAAATTCCAACTAGGGACCTGATTTACCGCCCGCGGTGGAGTTGCTCTAAGCCATGGTGGGCCACTACACTAACTGTAGCAGTTAGCGCAGCATAAATGTAATGTAGCGGAATTCCCCTAAACTTTGGTGAAGCATAGCGGAATTCCGCCATGTCCACACTAACACTACACATGCAGGCTCCTAAAAAGTGCCAGCTACGCTGCGTAAAAGCGCTGGTTAGCGGCGTTTTGGCCCTGTAGTGGCCTGTAGCGCAGCGTAGTGTAGCAAAAAACCACTAACGTTTTGCTAACACTACATGATTTCAGTGCACAAAAAAAAAACTGCTATGCTAACGCTTTTTGGGCAAAAGGTGTAACAGCCCAGTGTTGATATAAGCTAAGATCAGAGGAAATCTGCAAGCAAGCCACAAATGGTGATATCAAATATGTCTCTTGGCACATGCTGAGAGGGGAAAGACAGGGTAAGACGGATAAGGTACAGCGGCTCTAGAGTGGCAAGAGAGGAACAAAGAAGAAGCCAAAGGGGCCTCAAGACACAGAGGTGAGAGACCAATCATGGTCAGAATAATATTAGAATTATCCAAGGGTGTTACATACCTTTAATGAGTACTCAGTGTGATTTCCTAAGTGGAACTTGGAGCTTAAGCGCAAAAATGTCCTGGAAAGGACTTGTTGGCAAGAGGATCATCGAAGGGTGTGGGGGGACAAACCCCTATATAAGAAGGGGGTCATCTTTCATTTTGAAGGCGTTTTCTGGCTCTTGTTTGGAGGCATTGCTTAGAGTCAGATGATCCTGACTAATTACCTTCTGCGTTTTTTTTTTTTTTTTTTTTTGTTTTTGATTTTGGGTGGTTTGTGGTTTGCTTAATATTAAACTGTTAATTTGGCTTTGAGGAAAATACCACTGATGAAAGTTGGCAGTTATCAATCATCGTTTTTATGTCAATTGTTTCTGGGTGTGGGTGTTGGAATTTCACTGACCCATGCACTTGTTTCCTTTCTTTCTTCTACCACACTCATGTGACTCGATCCGGTTTTCTTTCTTATATGTACATTATGAATCACTGTTTACAAGTTGATCAAAGCAACACTGGGCTGCTACGCTACGCTAAAGGGCCACTTAGTGTTAGCGTAGCGGTGCTAAAACGGGCCCTTTTTTCTGTAGTGTTAGCGTGCCGCTACCGCCACTACGCTGTAGCCCCGCTAACAGGCGGCTTGTTTTTGGGTAGTGTTAGCGCATTGCTACAGCCGCTACGCTGCGCTACAGCGCTTTTAGCGGCAAAAAAGGCAAAAAACCCGCTAAAAAGCGCTGTAGCGTGGCGTAGCGGGCACTTTTTTGTGCCCTGAGTGCGTAGCATTAGCGCAATTCCAACTTTCTGCGCTAACGCTACGCTAACAGCTAACACACTTTTGTGCCCTTTGCGCGTAGCGTTAGCGCAGAAAGGTGGATTTTTTGCTAACGCTACACTACAAAGTAGCGCATTTCCGCTGCGCTACGGTTAGCGTAGCTGGCCCAGCGTTAATCCCATCCGTAATTGGTAATTCAGAGGTCAGGTCTGGTGCCAATTCAAGCATTCTTGTTTTTTTTTATTGTTTTATATCGCATGGTCCACATCCACGCCAAACCTTAACCAAATCACATATCATGATTTGCGGCCAAACGGGGCCCCAGGAATTAAACCATCCGTCCCCCTCCCCAAAGAAAAAACAGAGGGGGGGGGGGGGGGAATGGAAGAAGGTGTGTCATGTGCAGTGGAATTAAGGCTACATATTTAAGTGAACACTGAATTTTTACACCCTCAGAAGTAGCCGACAAATCTGATACGTTTGATTTGGTTTGCTCTGCAAGCCATCATCTGGCCATATAAGGTGCCACATGCAATCCCAACACCACCCAGCCACCAAAAAACAAACCAAAAAAGATGGTGGATGGATAAGATCCCAAGTGCCCCATGAACCACAAAACACCGGATGTATATATGTACAACACCAGTCGCTGCTTATCCAACCATCTCCCCAAAAAAAACTGATTCTGTGGGGTTTGAAGGATCGTCATTCCCGTCGACTCGGCATACACATCCGTCCCACTAAATAGACCATACGAGGCACCATCATCATCGGCATGAATGCACACTTGGACGCCAAATATGGTAGATCCAAGTGCGTGGAAGAAAGTGAGAACAAACAAAAAAACACTTTCGGAGGGAGGGACAACGAGAGAGAATAAGAATGCGTCAGAGTCTACAGTCTTCTGGGGGCAGCGCTAGTTGCTCGTGCGTACGTGTTTGCATGTGTCAGGGGTTATAAAAGACCGTCCCAGTTACAACTTTTTTTTTTTTTTTTTGAGTCACAGTGATCAGTCTACATGAGTACGATTCAAAACCGACCCAAAATGAGATACAAAATAAAACAAAAATGCTACACTCAAAACCAAACAAAAAAAACGAGTAAAAGAAGACGTGTATAAATGTTGAAAGAGAGTGTGTTGTGTGTGTGTAGAAAGAAGGAATCTATGAGAATGAAAAAAAGAAAACAGGCGGGATGATCAAGTGAAGTAATTAGATTGATATATGTTTCGGGCGGCTTGGATGAGCAAGGAGCGGTCGATGGAGAGAGGTAATGGGGGCGGCGGCCGGTTGGGAGGCGGCGGCCAAGGGAACCGGGCCATCACACCTTCATTCTCGTGATGAACATCGTTATTGTTGTTGTTGGTGGAGGAGGAGGAGGAGGTAGTGGAGAAGTTGAGTCGAGAGTCGTGGACGAGGCTACGATGCAAGTTCATGAAATGCAGATCATAGAACGCGAACTGACATTCCGGACAAACCAAGCGAGAAGTTTTCTGAAACGAAGGCGAAGGGAGACGGGGATCAGTGGGAGGGAGAGATTTGGGAGCAGTGGAGAGAGGCGCGGGTCGGCCGACGGGGTGGTCGAGGAGGAACGGACGACGGCCGGCCCAGACGGGCTCGGCATGGAACGAGTCGCTGGCCCGTTTGCGCAGTCGACCCGCCTGGCCCATCGTCATCATCATCGCCGTCGTCGAGTTTGTTGTCGGCGGAGAATTGATGGAGGGGGTTGCAGAGGGGACCGGGACCGAGCCTGTGATCAGACTGGCCCTGATATGGTTCGAGCGTTGCAGACCGAAGCTTTGGTGTCTGGACCTGTTCTGTCTTGCTGTGTAAAAAAAAAAAAGAAAAAAAGTTTTTCATCCATCAATCCCACATTGTAAGAACCACCGCTCGTTATACTTAAGAGAGAGAAGCAGTTACTTACAGGCGTTGCTGAGAGGCGGCCGACTGGAAACGGGGGTAGGAGGGGGTGAGAACGGCTGGTAGATGATGGGCTGATAGGCCTTATCGGGATCGACGATGGAGGGGAGGGGAGGGCGTCCGGGAAGCTTCATGAGGGTGCGGAGAGGATGTTTAGCGGACTGGCCAAGGAGGCCTTCTCCAGTGGGTGAGTGGGGATGGCCATGACTGCGGCCTCCTGAAAATTGGGCATGGTCCCCGAGCAAGCCGGCGGTGGTTTTGAGAGCGTGTTCAGATCTTGAGCGATGGTTCAGAGGTGGCCGAGGCCCGCGAGGGGCACGCCGATGGTTGTTTTGATGAGCCGGATCGACATTCCTTGATCCGCTCTTGTCTTTGGCCTGTCCTGCCGGGCTGATCCTGCGGCTAGAAGTGGGGGCAGACTGGGTGTTTCTTGGGACACCACTCCTGGAGGTTGATGCACTAGGCGGGGTACTTCTTGACAAAGCACTTCTAGAGGCTGATGCAGACTGGGCATCAGGACTATTACCGCTCCGATGAGTGTGGCCACTAGCGAGGGTGGTGTTACTATTAGGTTGATGAGTGTTGTGATGAGTGATGGCAGGCGAGATGGGATCGATGAGCTCGTAAGGTGGGGGAGGAATGGACAAGTCTTGGTTATCAAGACTATCCAATGGGAACAGACTGGCGTACAGTTCGGCAGCCAGCGCCGTTCCCGAGGGGACGACCCCACTCGAATCCGCTCTCCGTCGAGCTTGCTCAGAGCTAGTTGAGCTGGGAAAGCTGACTGCAGAGGCATTCCTGTTGAAACCAAGTGAACTGGATGGCCGGGCTGACATTCTCGGACGATGTGCGGAAGATGTGCTGGGATGGGGACCGGTCGAATCCTTCGGAATCCGCTGAGTTGAGTGATCACTATTAAAGTTTTCCTTATAATGGACTGCTTCTATTATCCAGAAATATTGGGAAGTGCCCCAGAATCAGGGTTGGGGGGATGAAGTGATTGCTGTTACTAGCAATCAACCAAAAGAATTATGCTTTGCGGATTAATGTAAGGATCAGCTTGATGAGTTGGTAAAATGGGTTTTTGTATTTTTTTTTTTAATTTTTGAATTATTAAACGATTGACGGGAAGGGAACGGGTGAATGGTATGGCCGGGTAGAGGCGGGTAAGAGGCTGGATAAATCGGGTGAATGAATGGTATTTGGTTTGCAAGTTGGATGGATCGAGGCAAATGGGATTATTGCTATCTTTCACTTGGATTATTAAGAAATGGCGGAGGTGAGCCTGCTGTTGGACGATGAGGCTATTTAAGATTATCGATGGAGGCACCCCTCAAAGGAGAAGGAGGATCTTCTCATCAAGACGTAAATGACTTGCGAGGAGAGTAATTTAAGAGCACGATCTCAGGCTGACCCATGACGCATCCCAGCACCAGGCCGGCGGAGTGCTTTCCCCATTTCCTGCGCTCGTACCTAATCAGGTGCAGTCTTCATGAGTCACGGAGCCATCGAAGCCAATCGAAGCCAATCCTCCAAAACCGAAGCGCCACTCTCCATCCCCCCCAAAAAAAGGATCGAACGACCAAAACAAGCAGCTCATTCATCTCCTGCGCCCTTGGATTATGATCAACCTCCGAATCCATTCGACACGAGCACAGAAAACTCGCATGTCCTTATACCGCCCAAGACGGATCCACTAGAGATCTAAAAAAAAAATCGAGCTTTGTGTATTGTTCATGTTGAGTCAGATCCCGAGCCTGATGAAGATCCTGGCTCGGAGGCCCTTTGGGGAGACCATTTACATGTTAGACGCCTTTAGAGAGTGGTGGACAACGAGATCCAACATCCACAGATCGGAGATGCTAGATGATCGAGACAATCCATCCAGACCGCTTCGCGTGTGGTTTTTATAAGTGGCAGCCCGAGCCCGACTGTGGATGCCGGCTTGAAACCGGCTCATCCATGTCTCCTGCCGCCGACAAGACTTCCCCCGGGAAACGGCAAACGGGCAATATAACCCCAGAATCCGCGACATCGCTATGGAAATACCACGGGGGTTCTAGCTCATCGGTAGAGCGCTCGCTTAGCATCGTCCTCCTGATCGGAAATGTGCGAGAGGTACTGGATTCGACTCCCAGGTACTCCACTTTATCTTTTTCCGTTTTGAAACCTTCTGGGCTCCAAGATGTGTATCATGAAGCCATCTGTGTACATACAACCAGGCAGAAGAATGGGGCTGCTTGGGTTATTGCTGCATCAAAATGCTTTTGCAAGAACCCATTACGGTTTTGCTTTTGAAGCTCGGGTTCTGTTGGATTGCTTGAAAGCATACCGATTGAGTGTCTATATATCTCTTCATCAGTCACTGAGCGTCTAACTACAAACATTGTGTGTTATTCTTCACTCAGTTTTTCTTTTTTTTTGGCAATGTAGGAGAGATTAAATAGACCAGATACATCTGCTCAAGTCCTGGGAAATGCTGCTCCCCAATGAATAGAGAAAAAAAAACCACATTGCATGAGAAAAAGAGCAATATGAGAGTTAAGTGATGAGACGGGCACAATTCAGGTCTGGCAAAATCCCAACAAGCATCAGCATTCACACAATATTAAGCTGGCCTGGAGACACTCCACATCTCAGTTTTCTTTTGTCTGTGGCCTGTTTAAAGAGATCAATTTTTCCCACATTGAGAAAAAAACACACACAGAAATCAATCCATGATTCCTTCAACTGTTTTGGTTTGTATATCACAGATCCAGGAAAAAATTCCAGCATGATATTCAGGGTCCTACTACTTCCTCTTATCACAACTATCACCTCAGGAAAAAACTTCTACCTATGCCAACAATATATTCATGTAAAAAATAAAATTCACAGGTTCCTGAATTAAACTTAGCAAAATAATTGGAATCTAGTGGGACATATGTACCACAACAGGAAGATTTCATCACTTTGGTCAAATTCTTGGAGATAATGTGGAGAAGAGAACATCTCAGTTCAATGAGGCATCTTGATATCCTAAGACATCATCTAAATAATCAAGGAATTGCCATACATATTTTCCTTGATCATCAAAGGCAGAAAATTGTTATATCTCTTCTGATTAATGGATCCATCCAAAATGTGAAATCACCCTTTATTGATTGCACCCAGTTTATTAGCTCCTCTATTTTAATTGGGATTGATGATTGAACTAAAAGAAAAAATGATTAGTCAAAAGGAAAAAAAAAAATGAAGCTAAGTTGAAATGATTATAGAAGCAAGCAAGAAATGGAAATACTCCTGCAAAGAGAAGTGAAAACAAATATGTGATATATAATTGTCTGCAAGGATTATCAGGATCTTGATTTCTATATGGATGGAAACTGATAGTAAACAGAAATTTTCTATGTAATCTAAAGCAAAAAAAGAATTTTGAGAAATGCTGATCATAAATAATGTCCATAAGAGCCTCTTATCCATCGAGTTTTCCGCAGCCAGTTTTACCCTTAGGAACCCTCAAGATTCTCTTGAGGGCCGTCTTGATACCGTGGAGCCGACTTTTCTGACAGTTTGCCCTCTCTAGTTTCAAAGTTCGAAGCTTTGAACTTCCTAGAATTGGCACGGCGGAGTTGCCAAGGGGGGTTTTGACAGGATAGGCTGGAGACAGCGGACTTGCAGCAACAGGCAAGGTCAGCGACTCAACTTCAAACGTTGGATTTGGAGTTTTCGTTTCAGTATCATCTTGACGATGACTGGAATCGGTCTCTGTAAGATATTTATGAAAGAGACCCTGAATCAGAAATCAAGTGCAATCCAATTTGTAGCTGGATAAAAGATGGAAATGATGAGACAGAAGAGAAAACTTTGCAATGAATCTCGAACCTTTGGGCTTGAAGTTAGACAAGGAGGCAAGATCTAATCTCAATCCCAAAAATTTTCTATCCTTTCGGGGATTTTTGTCAGTGTTACCACTAGTGGAAGTCCAGGTATTGAAAGCTTGTAAACAAGGATCAGGCCTATGTTGTTCAGGCTCGCTCTGAAAGGAAAGGCCCCGACACTGAAATGACTCGTCCGAGTCTGAGGTCACAGCTCCAGAAGATATCGACTGCGAGTCGGAGTATCCAGTTCCTCTGTGACTCAATCTAGATGCGGACGCCCGAGAAACCGAATCTTGTGAGCGAGGATCAGGCCTATAGTGTTCTGGCTCACTCTGATAGGAAAGGCCCCGACACTGAAAGGACTCGTCCGAATCTGAGGCCACTGCTTCATGAGATTTTGAAATGCTTCGCGAGTGCCCGGTTCCTCTGTGACGCAATCCTGATTCGGAAGCCGGAGAAATCGAGGCATGTGAGCCCAAGTCAGGCGTGTATTCCCCAGGCTCATACTGAAGGCCGCGGCATTGAAAAGATTCATCAGAATCCGATTCCACTGTTCCGGGAGATGCCGGAATGCTTGACGAGTAAGTACCTCCCCCGTATCTAAACCCTGATCCGGAAGCCTGGGCAATCGGCTGTTGCGAGCTGGAATTAGACCTCCATAACTCAGGCTCATAATCGAGGCCTCGACATTGGAACGATTCCTCTGAATCTATTATTGTTCCAGGAGGTGTCGGAATACTTTGGGTGTTGCCAGACCGCCTGCGATCATCTTCGGAGTCGTAGTGCGCTGTGAGCTCGTTCTCAGCACAAGAACCGTGTTTGGTATCTTGAACCCGATGGCTGCACTCAGCCAAGGAACTTTCTGGCTCGAAATCTTCGGCCCGTCTTCTCGATCCATTATTTTCATCATTGGAATTGTGCGTGGGTCGACTTGAGATTCGAGTTCCTGACATTTTCACGGATGAGAATTGATCCAAAAAACAACTGGTTGTAATGTTCACCAGGTATGGATATGATTATGGAAAAAATAAATAATATATATAAGCGATTGATTAATAGGATGGTGTTTTTTGATCCGGAGGTAGAGTTCCTAATGAAAAGGTGGGCAGTGGGGCCGCAAGAATGCCACTTTCAAGAAGGGCGAGAGAGACTAATTTCGAAAACCCTAGCTCAACCATACCATGGGGCCTACTTGAGGGAGTAGAATCTGCTAGTCAACTCATAGGTTAGAGACTTGAGTGCTTGAGTAGCCATTGTGAGCTGTTTGGTGATTAGTCCAACTGAGAGTTCTGAGTGGCTAATTACAGAAACCGGATGATTTTTATGCATTGTTATTCTTCCTTTAGCTCGCTTTATGATTTCTTACCCTCCAGAAGACTCCGGACTAGAACCTTCTCATGGGTAGAATTTTTTCTTAAACTTGGATGTATCCCAAAGAAAACAAAGCTTCAGACGGGAGCTTTCTTCTGCAACAACCTTGCTCGAAATTTGAATGTTGGAAAATCAATTGACGCGTCTCCTTAGCGCTTCATAGACAGCATGACCTGCCTGCTTGATTTTATATAATAAAACATATCCCGTTTGCCATCTTGAAAAACGCATTGGCCCCTTAGTTTAACAGTTTGAAAATATCATCTCGTCGCGGTAACTGCAAGACATAAGTCTCATCTTGGTTCATCAAAGCTGAGTGATCCCCGTTGAATGGACACTGCATGAGGATGATCATGTTTGTATCAAACTCGTTCGATCTTTACAAGAGCAAGAGGGGGGCAATTCTCCAAAGCAGATGCGCGCTATAATAAGGTGACAGTGACACTGCGGCCACGCCAAAACAGAGCGAAAACGATTACGGCAGAGAAACCGAGACATATTGGTCCCATAGGGCTACATCGATCAAATGCACGAAAATAGATAGCGATCTGGAAAATGCCATGGTGTTTTGCTCATTTTTATTTGGTTAAGGAGAAAGTCTGACACTTTTTGCCATATATGAAGGCAGATTTGAAGAAATTTCAAGCAAGCTCCGGATTTTTGTTAGAGGGAAATGTGAGTCGAGACCTCGAGGATGAGAAGAGGAAGAGCGACATCGAGTAACTACAGAGTATAAAATGCACGTGGACTTCCGACGATAGGGCCAAGTGCTTGTTCTCGCATTTGTAAATCCGTTCAAGACAGTGAACCAGAGGGGACTCAGTCTATTGCCAAGTGCATAGTCAAAGGATTATTGAAAATGAATATAAAAGGAAAGGGAGATGGAACCTCAAATTTCAGTTCCTGTAAACCCGGCCAGAGCGTATATTCTCACTAGTGCTTGCTAGGAACCAAGCAGCTTACAATCGTCTTTGTCGCTGGTGGTTGGTTTTTATTCCCGATTCTTGTTTGATCTGATTGCAACAGCTGCTGGCCAGTTTTGATGTCTCTACAGGAGCGAGGAGAACTCATAGCTGGGGGTTAAGCGAAGTGAATAATTGATTGGACGTGTTTATTTACATGCCGGTGCAATACCATGTATGCTGGAAGCAATCGGCCATACGGTGCGACCATAGAGAAGAAGCCAAATTTTAAAGAATAGAAAATGACACGAAACGAAGAGGAATGTACTTTTAGTTAGAGAAGTGCTTGCCAGCCTCTCGGAATGCACGATTCCGAAACCCAGCTCTCTCCAAGTAGACCATGATTATTGCCCATGATGGGTCGATGTCCACACCGAGACGGCACTTGCATGGCCGAGTGGGAGCGGCATAGCGGCCCTTTGTAAGCATTAATAGGATTGCTTCGGCGCATCATCACTGGAGCTCGGCCTCTCTTTCCCGATGAGTGAGCTCTCCAACCATCATTTTTTCTCTTTCGCATCCTCAAACACAATCTCAATCAGACCATCCGCAGTTATCTAGTAATCGAATCGAGCCAGACGGTGGATGTCGCTCGACAAGCTCTCCAACTAGTCACGGCTTTAGATTCGACGAGCTTGAACCGGCCGGCTTTGAAGGATGAATTGATCTTCAGTGCTACATTTCTGGATTGATTTCTACACTTTCAGAGAGGGATTATGTATACAAGTAGACCACAGACATCCGACATCCACTTGTATTGCTACCTCAACCTTGAGACAAGAGTTCTTGGTCAGACATGAGTAATATCCATACTTACATATGGGTAATAGTACTGAGTAATGTGCTTGTTTAGATGTCAGTAACATTCTTTTTTGTATACGAGTAATGATGTTTATAAGTGATTCATGAGAGTCTCAATGGCTCAATTGAGCACCTTCCAATGGACTCGTTGATAAAACATTGTGTAGAATACCTGTGGTGAAAATACAAAGGTTCTTTTCCAACACTTCCCCGTGCCTTGTACCCACTGTCACCAGCGGAAACCGCTCCTCTTTCATCCGCTCACCGCTAGGGTTGCTCGCTATAAAGTTGCTCTCATCTTGAGTGCCTTCATTTGTTGGGTGTCCTTCCTGCATATAGATATACCTAAGGAGATAAAACACCCTCATTTCACTGCTCAGTTACTCCAAGCTGCACCAGCAAGATGAAGGTGATCATCAAGTTGGCCAAAGTTGCTAATTACTAGCTATGAGTTGATTAATGTATGGTGAAGCAAAGAGCATTGAGCATTTATTTCTCTTGATCAGTCTGTGTGTGTCATGCAAGCCATCCACAATCAAAGTGGTGTCAAATTCTACTGTTGTTTCAATGAATCTTGGAAAAAGCAAGCTTTTCCAAGTGTGAAAGTTATGTGCTTCAGAGGCACAGCAGCAGTTTAATCCTGTGGTTTCTTCTGTACACAACTCCCGGTTGATCCACCTGGCTCTGATATGTCAGGTGGAGCCATTGCCACACTTCCGCCTGCCTTTTTTTTTCCCAACAACTCCAGAATTGACTTGCACAACAATTAAAATGGTCTATTGGTATCACGCTCCTGCAACAAAGGTAGCCACTGTTAAAATGGATATTCAGGGCTTATCTCTTGATTAAATCTGCTGGTTACTTGGAAGTTTCATATCTCAGCAATCATTTAGTCAATGGATTCAGCTTTACAAAGAGACACAATGTGGCTGCCCAGCTAGTCCCTCCAATGAAGAAACATCTGTTCATTATTTGCCTTTTCCAGTCTGAACCCAACTTGTTTCTTGATGAGCCCCAGGAACAACTGTATGATTCCAATGGCTTCCTCCTCAGTGCTGAGGGGATCCATTGGAATCTCATTGAATAACTCTCAATAAACTTAAAGAAAATGGATACCAAGAGCATTTGTAAATCACTCTTTGCAAAATACACTTTTGTGGAGAAGGAGGAGTTTTATCCAGCTGAGTTCCTTCTTTTTACTGGTGAGTTTGACTTTTTCTTATTATTTTTCTATCATCCAAATGAAGAATCTGTTGTTGGCTTTTTTTGGCAGATGAGAGTGCATTCTGCAACAAGGATCTCCCACTGCCCAGGTCAAAGTGAGGGACTCCCTCCACAAGATTTTTTAAGCACAACAATGCAGCCCAATTGAGTCTGCTACCAGCAATCCCAATTGACAGAATTATTGCCCTCCCTACAGCTTTTAAAACCAACAATGGACCCTGGTTTGAGTGCCTTGTGGAATACAAATTGGGAAGTCCCAGTGTTGTTCCTCTTGGTGTGCATAGCTGACAACATGATGCTCTCCAGTTACCTCACATGAATCAATACCTCAATACCAACTAGTTCTGGTATGTGACAATGCCAGTTATCACCATGGTGAGCGTGTGCAGCAGCTTTTCCACACTGTAGGGGTCTGAATCATGTACCTTACACTGTATTGCCCCAAGTTGGATCCAATTGATCTTGAACTTTATAAACAATGCGGGTACTGTGTCCCACAAAACTAAATAAAGTTGTGTTCCCTGTCTTCATCATTTAGATTCAACCTGAGCTCATTAAGATATGAGTACAAAAAACAGTTTTCTGTATAACATCTGGTTGGGCTCACCCAGGCCCAACCAATGGTCTCCATTACCATTAACTTGCTTTGAGATATAAATCATTATTATCTCACTCAGAATGAATTCAAATTTTTTGGCACAGAGCCTGGGGGTATTGCAGGCACCTGACCTCAATGATGATAGTTCTTCGATACCTTTTTTTTGTGCAAGTCATTTTGAGTGATTTTTGAATGGCATTTGAGAAGGATTGAGTGTGATAATGATTTTACTGGCAAGTTGGGAAGAAAGATAAAACAAGAGAAAAAAGAATGAGATTGGGTTAATCAAGACCATCTGCTTGAATTGTGGGATAAGTCTACGTTAGGCTAGAAATTAATTGATGCATTCAGGATAATTTGGATAACCAAGAACACAAAAAGTAATCAAGCTTTCCTAATCTATTCATAACCTTAGATTTTTTCGAATTTCTTCACATTGTCTCTTAATTGAGCAAAGTATATATCAGCTAAGCCCCAGCCTTTGATCACATCTAGGGGGATGTTCTTTGATGAGATAAATCTAGGACTAGTAGTTGCCTTGTTTTTGGTGAGAATCCTTGCAATCCTTTTCCATTTAGTATCTGGGATCTTGCCTCAAGCAAGTTGACTCCTGTATGGACTCTGAAGACCCATCAGAATGTATATCAGGCACTGCTCCTAGAAGAGCTTCAAAAACAATCTAGTTTGCACTTTTCTGAGGCAGATAAGCTCTTGAATTTGAGTTTAAATGGCAGCAAGTGGAGCAACACTGCAGTATTGGGTTTCATCCGAGTCCCCCAAATCAATTATACCTGATTTAGACGGTCCAATGAAATCCAATCTACTTACAAGGACCCAATGAAATCCAATCTGCCGACAAGGGCAATGGTCCGTTTAACAACATTCCCAGTTGTCAAGAGGATGAAATGGGTTTTATCACCTGGATCAATGAAGACTGGAATCTTCTTATGGTATTTCATGTTGGGTGGGTGGGCATTGGAGATCTGATTCAATATCGACATCCTGTGATGAGACCGAGGTCAATGGATGAGATGGATCTTGGCACTTTGAGGTTGAGGCACGCCAGGCAGCCCCCTGGGTCATCACATGTTGCTTGATCTTCAAAGCTGCTTTTGCTTCTTTTGCTAAATCGATTGGGCTGATCATTTTGACTGCCAAGGTTGCATTTGTCCTGTCCTTCTGGCTGGCAATGATGTTTGCTGTCCAGTGGGTGAAAGAAGCAGTATCATTAGTGGGATTCAAAGTTGATTTTCAAACAGGATTCTACATGAATTCAAAAGGTCAAGAGGTTCAAAATTTCAGTTTTCTGAAACTTCTGGTTCCTCTTTGTTTGGAACATTTCTCAAAAATTCTGTGATCTTGATGATGTTGTGTAGAATTCTGTTCAAAAATAAACTTTGAAACCCCCTATTAACTTTGGAGTTGGCGGTCTTTTTGAACTTGTGGGCTGGTGGAAGATTCATCCAAACCTTCCAGTTGATACAGGGAGAGCCAGATTTGAGCACATTTTGAATGATTACTGCTGCCCCCTTGAAATTCTGGTTGCACTCTCTGGCAACAATCTCACAGAATTGCTCAAATATGGTGGAAATAGCTGGAATCAAAATCAACAATTTCCCCTTGGATTTCACTAATTGTGAGAATTTTTGTTGGGGTGCACTAATCTGAAGCTTGTGCTGCAATCAATCATCTGAGTCTAGTGGATGCAAGAAAAAAAGTAATCAATGTACATTCCCCATCTGAGCATACCAGAAGAAATGTTGGTTCTTACTGTTATGTAGTTGATCTGGCAGTGGGCCAAGATGTTGAATCCTCCAAGATTCGGAAGCAGAATGATAACCCGGTGGCGGGTTAATAAGGGCGCGTACCATAGCTGCCCGCGGGCTGCCAATTTCCAATTTTTTTGGCAGTAATCGATTTTGACCAAAAACGTGTACCACAAGGGTCAGTTTTTATGACAACTGATCTAATCGTTTTCTCACGTTTGCTGCTGTTTGAGGAAACGGCCTTACCCCCGTTTGGGGAAACGCTTCATCTGGCATTCTGCAGCATTTTCTTGTCACCAAAGCCCAATCATCATATGTACACAATCGCTCCGACCCTTCTTCAGTTATCACCGCCTGCTCGCTCCACAGTCCCCCTGATTAGACTTGCAACCAATCAGCTTCACAACCAATCGGCTTCACAGGCCTCAAACGAGAAAGCATCATCGACTGCAAACACCTCAACAATGTGTCCTCATCTGTCGTTTTATTTTCAAAGGACTTGCTGAGTCGATCAAACATTCTAGAAATGGTATGATTGATAGATCGATCAATCAATAGAATTGATGCAAAAAAGACCAATGGGAAGAAAGAAAGCAAAGTACGATCGATTGGTGGGAAGAATGCAAATATGTGATGCATGGAGATGTTGTAGTGAGTAGCTTTGATGATGAGTAATTGGGATGTGCTGAGGGATAGGTGTGATGGAGATGAGGTGCCTTGGTGAAAAACTGTGTGTGTGGTACACGTTTTTGGATAAGGCCGTTTCTCAACCTGTTTAAAAAAAAGCGCAGAAAAAAAAACGGTCGGGAATTGATTTTCAAATTGGGATGCGCTGTGGTACGCGCCCTAAGTCAATTCTGAAGCGCGACATGGGTAGCAAGGGAAACAGATGTCCATTTGATGTTCTGTGAGATGGATTGCTGGCTGGCTGGAGGCTGCCGACCACCGAGGACTGGTTAGGAACAACAGCCTTGATCACCGTTTTGGCCAAAGTGGAAATCATGAAACCGATCATGATTTCAAAAGCCAAAACCCAAAAAGATTTTAAAAAAAAGCGATCGTGCAACACCACGATTTGTGAACACGAGTTTTCTTCAAACAACAATACCATGATTTCGTCGGCGGTCTACAAAGTTAACGTTGCCCAGAACCGCCAGTTCATTAATTTGGTTCATGAACTACATTCGATGATATGATTTCTCTCTTCGATGTGAGGGGGAGTCACCAGCTGTCCCAGCATCTGTGAAGGCGATAAATTTATGCTGGCCTCTTCCACACATCTATATCAAGGATCTGGGGATCGTGTGCTCGATGCACATGGTCATCATCAAGTCCTGCTGAATAATCGACATCGTTTTTTTTTTTTTTTTTCATCCCAGCTACGTTGCACTTTCGACGTTGTTATATATATTTGGAATTGGCCATGGCCGAATGCTGCAAAAGAAAGCAGAAGCAAAAAAGAGTCAGATCCCGATGAATTAGAGAGGGTTCTTTCACAATTGCAAGAAAAAAAATGTATCAGACGGTATTGGTGATCTTGCCGAGGATTGCGGGAGTTCCATCTTTCCATGAGCATGTGTCCAGATGGAGAGATCCGACGAAGTCGAAAGTAGTGATATCAAGAAATGGGGGCTGGGCTGGGCCCGATCGAGATTTCAGAGAGAGAGAGAGAGAGCAAAGCTTGGATCACACCCAGCATTGAGCCTGCGATGATCTGTGTTTGTCTCTTCTCTCTTGATCTTCTTTTCTCCCCCCAGTGCCCAGACACAGCCACTCGGCCCTCCGATCGCACCGCATTCGCTGCTCATAAACTGCCAGCTTACCAAGCCAAACCATGATCATCACTCTCTTCTCTCAGCTGGTGTAATAAATATATGACGATGATGATGATGATGATGTCAAGACTATAGAGTGTTTATTCAAGACTGTCCTGGTCACCAGCTCACCTTCATCCAACTTCCATCCCGACCAATGCACACTCCCAGCAAATGCAGTGGAGCGCTGCGTTGAGTATGTAGAAAAAAAACACACTCACTCACAGATTTTTAATCGAGTTCGACTTGCGCAAGATCCAGACTCAATCATCTCAGAGCAAGAGAAGTTTGTATATCAACGGTCTCCTATCCGACTAAAGAGACTTCCCAAGTTACCAAGATTGTCTAAGAACCGATTTCTAGCACAACCGAACAACTCACTCACACACACACTCTCAAACCAGACCGACTAACACATATATACCTAATCCGGAGTTCCTCTCCTCCCCCCCCCTTCTACAATTAAATCCAACACAGCTTTAATCGACTCGGTCCTCATTGACTCATTTAATAAAAACTCTTACCCTCCTGCTTTGTCAAACCTGCCCAACTCTTCATCCAACGAACTCCTCTCAACTTGCCAAAGAAAAACAACAACCCATCCACCCAATCCAGGAAATCTCTAATAGCAAACCATCCAATCATGTTTTCACTCAGCTTATCGACCACCTTACTCGTGCTCTCCATGGGCGGCAACCAGCTCGTTGTGAATGGCCAAGCTGCCACCAACGCCTCTGGCTCTACTACTCGTGAAGGGGGTGCAGGGAGCAGCAGCAGCAGTCCCTCGTCAGCCATGGGCCTGGCTTCGGGCCTCTCGCCCGGCTGTCAAGCTGCCGCCGGCGGCCTGCTCACTAGCGACTTTGGAGCCTGCTCTAACATCATGGGATTGGTCTCAGTCATCGGTGCTTCGGGATCGGTGATCCCTCCCCTGACTGTATGTTCTTTTCTAACACCCCCTCCTCTTTCCCTTCAAATTGTGTCGTCAAACCTGACTTTTTCATGTGTTGTGTTTAGAACTGGATCTCCGGCGTCTGCTCGGCTTCCCCTTGCTCAGCTGATACCCTCAAGCAAGCTAATCAAACCGTCAGCTCTGGATGTAGCTCGGACATCCAGAAAGGCTCTGGAATCACGATGGCCCTCCAGACGATTGTCTCGAACTATAACGGCGCAAAGTAAGCTTTCCTCTGCCTTCTATGCTTGGCCGGTCCCTTCAAACACTAAACTCTGCTGGTTTTTCAGGGACTTGCTCTGCACTCAATACACCTCAAACTCTACCTTCTGTGTGCCCTCTATCCTCGGAAACGTCCAGACTGCCACCGGCCAGAACATCACCATTTCCGAGGTCACGTCGCTCCTCTCGGGTAGTATGACCCCTGCTGGACAAGCATTTGCCAACGTCCCCTCGGTAAGCGTTTCTTCTTCCGTCCAACATCTTTGTGAACATCGTACTTAAACCATGACGCTCTTTCTGAAAACAGGGAACTTACTGTACCGACTGTGGGCACGCCTTAGTGACCCAATCGGCCGCCTTCCTTGCCTCCTCCAATGGGGGAGGAAGCTCGGGGAACGCCAGCTCGGGCGGTGCGATGAGCTCGATCTCCAACACCTGTGGCGCCTCGTTCACCGACGGAAAACTGCCCTCCACCGTCCGCGTCGCCAACAAGAACGCCGCCGATAACGCTAAGAATAGCGCCGCCGTCCGTCTTCCTGGCTCGCTTCTTATCGCCTTCTCCGTCGCTCTTTCGGCATCCGCTCTCGCTCTTCTCGCCTAGGATTCTCTCTCTCTTTCCGCGCAGGTCGTCGCTTCCTCTTCATCATCACGCTCTCTTATTCTTATTCTTCTTTTCTCGCTTGTTCATATTATCTATCCCCCCCATTGATTCTCTTTTCCTCATGTAACCTATTCTGCTTCACCTCTTTCCTCTTCCCTTCCCTTTCCCTTTCATTCTTCCTTTATACTTTCTCATGACATACACACGCGCGTATCCTTCTCTTTTTTTGTTTTCATATTGACATGTCTTCCGTATGCTTTGCTGATGTACATTGAACAGTCCCCATGTTTCTGTATCTTTTTTCTTTTCTCTTTATGGAGTTGTTTTTCTCTGAACATTTTTTCTTTTCTTTTCTGGGGAGGGCGGAGTGATAACCAATGCATATATCTTTGATGCTTCACATCAGCAGTCTCTTATGTGTGTGTATATGATAGAAGTTGCCAGACACAAGTAACCCGTTTTTGCACGACAGTGTCTGTCCCTTTCTTTTTTCGCGTCGAGTGGTGTCGTTTCTTGGTCGCTTACCGACGATCACTCTTACTATCGTCAATAGTGATCGGCGGTGTCATGGAACTCTCTCTTCCTCTCTCTCAAATTCATCTCAACCTCGTCTCTTTGAGTCTCCGCCATCGTCCTCGTTTGTTTATCTACACACTCCATCCGCATTTCAATCGCCTCTTTTTTTTTTTTCAGTTGCCCAAGTTTCCATATCTGCTTTCTCATTTTCTGTTCTTTTCTCTCTCTCTCTTTCTCTCTTTCTGTTTATATATTATAATAATAAAAATGAGGTCTGTGTTATGGATGGTCTTACATATACTCAACACAAGAGATTCTTCGCCCCTTCTCATAGATACATACACCGATTGAAAACAAAAGCTGCAACAAATTGTTCCCAAAAAAAAAGAAGCTGCTCGATCCCGAGTGTCACTGCAGTACACAGGGTCTGCGCGCAAGTGTTATTACTACATGAGTCCACAAGACGAAAAAAAGATGAACTGGAGTACCTGGGAGTCGAATCCAGTACCTCTCGCAAATTCCGTTTTGACGATGCTAAGCGAGGCTCTACCGATGAGCTAGAACCCCCGTGATGTTTCTATGACGTCATCCTCTCATTCTCCGATCATATACCCCTTCTTGTGCAGTTAATTATGACCTGACGCACTTGTTTTTAGTGAGATACATACCGACTGGATGAGAATTTTTCTTCGGGTGTCTTTCATCAAGACCCTCCCTCTCCCCCCCTTCGGCTTATATGAGAGCCTACTTGTTGATGCAAGCGGGGTGGAAGCGAGCGGTTTCAAGAATTCGACGATCCATAAATCTTTACATATATGTACATAGACGGATAGTAGGTTGCCGGATGCGGAGAAGGATCGGTCCGGTGATATTATTGGGCTCCAAGGATCGCTGTCGATGCACATTGTGTTGGATGGAAGGTCAGCCGAGGTTCAGACGGTCGGGATCCAGAGAGACTGCGGACGACGTTCAAGTGACCAGCCTCCGGACGGCCATTGCTGTTCATCTTCATCCATGGCATCAATTGGCTTATTTTGCTTCTTCAATCATGCAGGCATTTGGCAACTCAAAGTTCTCTTTTTTGTTTTTCTTTTTTATGGTATTTATAGTCACTGATCAATTTGTCTTCCGTGATATGAGGGCTAGAGAGGTGCCGTTCATGAAGGCTTTGATCAATGCCGGAGTGGAAGGAGGCCAAGTTGATTGGTGTCCAAGAACTCGTACTAAATAGTGAGTTTGATCCGCGCACAAGATATGGATCAATCTCCGTTCTTTTTGGTCAGTTAGACAGGCTTCAGACTTTAGTGGGGGCACTGCTGCTTGACTATTTATGTACAAAATCGCTTTGGAACTCCAGGCTTGCGATCCGCCCTTTTTTTCGGATGGAGAGCAGCGCTTCGGTTTCGGAGAATTCGAGTCGATTTCATTCCATATAGCTTGATGACATAAAGACATATTTGCTGTAAAGGATGTACGAAGGAAACGATAACAAAAAAAAAAGAACGAAATCGCTGCGATGCGGCTTGATATTAAAGAACCATTAAAGAACTCTCCGCTCAAAGCCAGTGTGGTGTGCGTCATGGCTCACTCAGCCAGAGTTGATCGTGTTCTTAATCCGGTGCGCGATTTCATCATCTCTCTGATCATCGGAGTCTGTTACATACATCCTCCTATTATCCAACTCAGACAAGTTATTACCTGCGAACATCGATAAGCTTAACTTCGAGTCAGCTTAATTTCGCAGTAAGACTCAGCCAAATCTTAATTCTACCCGTTCTTTCCTTCATCAGCCTAATTCTCTTTCTTAATAATCCAAGTCATTGTTTAGCTTTTAATGATCGTCCAACCGTTCAACTTGCCAAGAATATATCATTCATTCGCCCAATCATTCTACATAGCCCTTGACCCTCCCTCACACTATACCGTCAACCCCTTCCCGTCAATCGTTTAATAATTAAAGATTAAAAAAAAAAAAGACAATTAACCAACTCATCAAGCCGATCCTTACTGTCATCAATTAATAATCCGAAAAAAACATAATTCTTTGGTTGATTGCTGGATATAAAAATTAGCAACATTAATAGCACCGTCATTCCAGTCCCCGACCCTGATTTCAAGCACGCCCCAACATTTCCGGATTACAATAAAAGTACACATAGTCCAGTAGGAATCCTACCAAAAATCCCAGGATCCCGAAAGCTTCAATCTTAGCGCACTTTCCAAACAACGGTTTTCAGCACACATAAAAAATTAGTTACGAAATGCCAGCTCGACCATCCAGTTCACTTGGTTTTAACAGGAATGCCCCAGTCAGCTTTCCCAGCTCAAGCTCTGAGCAAGCTCGACGGAGAGCTGATTCGAGTGGGGTCGTCCCCTCGGGAACGGCGCTTGCTGCCGAACTATACGCCAGTTTGCTCCCGCTGGGCGACCATCCTGATCTGTCCATCCCTCCCCCACCTTATGAACTCATCGACCCTATCTCAACCGCTCTCAACCCCGAACCCAGTCACATTATCCCTACGAGTGACCATGGCAATAGGATCAATAATAGTACTGATGGGTCAGCTCAGTCTGCATCAGACTCTAGAAGCAGTTTTTCAACGAGCACCCAGTCTGCTCCAGCATCTGGCACTAATATTAGTCCAGTGCGCGCTAGAGAGATCCCATCAGGGGGTATCAATGGTGCCCCTCATGATCACCAACAGCGGGCTCTTCGAGAGCGTCGGCCACCATCAACCAATCGATCCAGAAGATCTGAACCACCCCCTGTTAGTGCAGCCTCAATCAGAAGCCAGTCTGAATCAGGCCGGGATCGTCGTCAATCTCAGCTGCCAAAGTTGCCAGTTGACCGAGACCATCAGCACACTCGGAAATTGGCTAAACTTCGCCCTCTCCCAGCCAATGTCATCCATCAGGATAAGGTCAACCAGGTCTATCAGCCTGTAACCGTCTATCATCCTCTCTCTCCCCCTCAAACCCCGGCCGAGTCCAACCGGCCCCCACTCAGTCCTGTCTCCAATCGGCCCCCAATCAGTCCTGTCTCCAATCGGCCCCCACTTAGCAACGCTTGTAAGCATCTTGATCTCCGCCAACGAATAATCCACTTACTCGGTCACTAGCCGGGGTTTTTTTTTTCAATCTTTGTTGATTCATCGTACCTTTTTTTTTCTACAGCAAGGGCGAATAGGGATAGACAACAAAGCTGTGGTCTGCGGCGATCGAACCACATCAGAGCGACGCTGATCAATGGATCCTCAACTACGATCCCTAATACAAATGCGACGGTTGAGCATCGGGGGCGTACTCGAGAGAGGGACTCGGCTGGCGTAGAGCCGGCGTTTCCGACAACCCTTACCGATGAGCTTGGCCAGGTCGGTCGGCCCGTACCGCCTATCGAAACTCGTCCCGTCACTCACACTCTTTCGTCCTCCTCCCAAGAAGAGGCTTCTGGTACACACTGGATTTGTCCCCATTGTCGGTTCATCTTTTTCGACCAACATCTCCGAAACCTGCACCAAAGTCTTGGCCATTGTATCCCTCTCGTAACTGCCAACACCAGTACAGACAACATCAATATTCACACGTTCGGTTATCCGACGCCGCCTCCTGTCCGCCCCCCGCCCCCTTTGCCTTGCTCCATTCATCAGCGTCCTCTTCTTGTGGATTCCGCTCGTCTGACTTATCTGTTCAATCACTTCACTTGAATCTTCTTCCTTTTTGCTCTTTTTTTTTTTGAAAATTTCTTTCTTCAAATCATGCTACAAATTAATTAGGTCTTCTCCATTAGTATCTTCTCTAATTCATTATCATCTCATGTTTTGACAGTTTTAAAAGAAGAAAACAAAAAATAAATGTTGAACACTTATTGTTCATTACCTTTCTTTTTCCCCTTTGGGGTTTGCTAATTCATTCTTCATTCTCCATTCTGCTTTTAAATGTTGTTCTTGTTGCTTTTGTAGTAGTAGATTTTTTCTCTTTATGATTGTGTGCCAATTACCAGGCAGTTTTATGATTCACAACAAAGTTAAACCTGTGTGATTGCCTCATCTTTTCCTTACCTCTAAAACTTAAAAGAAATTGGTTGTCATTGCTTCTGTAAGCAGATTGCTACCATGAGCTGCATGACAAATATACAGGGAGAAAAGAGCACTACTGATGCAGTGTTTGTTTTTACACTTGCATTTCCTTTGTCTTTAAATTCCATTCAATCTTCTTCTTCATCTCTTTGACATGTTCAATTCTTACAATCTGTTCTTTTACAGATCTATAAGAATAAAAAAATACATTTTTTCATCAAAAAAACAACAATGTATACATCCAATTGAACTATAGTATTTGGTGCAGACCAACAAAATAATAATATCAGTGAGATGTGATGGGATGCAAAAAAGTACTGACCAGTTTGCTCTATCTAGCTGTATATTATCTGCAATTTTGGTGTACTAAAGCCACAAGTATCTATTCATTTATTGTATAAAAAATTGAAATAAATTAAAATGCTTTCCCATGAGCTTATTCACAACCCCTTTTCCAGGACATTTTTTTTTAGTTTCTTTGGGGCCCCTGCAGATCAGCACTGTTTTCATTGGAAGACTTGACAAGAATATTTTTAGTGTATGGAGGTCTGGGACACAAGAAAAAAAATTGGGTTGGGTTTTTTTTTCTTTGGTTGTTCAGTTGTTATTGTTGTGGTGGTGGTATGGAAATGTTGTATTTGAGATCAGGAACTCGGCTTGATAGAAACACGAGGAGATATTCTATTCAGTTGAGGATCTTGGGCCTGTTTTACATGATTGGGGGTGAGAGAACTGATGATGTGGCTCAAGCTTTCTCTAATCTTTTTTTGGCAAAGTGTGCAATCGATTCCTAGTATAAAAGCCATCAAGGGCTGCTTTGAGCAACCCATTTCGGACCAACACAAATGTATCTCCCAGCTGGTATATCTGCCTCCCTGTCAAACAGATGAGACACGTAATTGAGAGGGGGAGGGGGAGGTGTCCAAAATGAACTTGCTTACATGTCACAGTGAAGGTTTTTTTTCTTGGTAGAAATACTTGATGTCTAGGACACTTGTCTCTGCCTCATCAAGGAATAACGTGGGCAAAGATTTTTCCAATCGGAGTTGTGGTGCAAGGTCAACATCTGCGATGGGACTCAAGGGGACTTATAGGGGAAAAAACTCATAACAGAAAAAAAGCAGGAGGTTGAGAGCCCTAGGAAAGAGGAAAGATTGCTGCGAGCTTGTGAGCCCAGAAAGCGTGCTCACTGAAGGTCTTGATTTCTATCTGAAGCAAAACAAGTTTGAAACACTATTACAATTGGGTTGAGAGGTGAGACTGGAAGGTGAAGACACTATCCATATTCATCATGTGGATTTTCCAGACGCAATCTTGGTGGTGGTTCCCTTCCCAGTACCAACGGTGGGCCAGCTTTGTTAACCAGAGTGTAGCTAAGACACACTATCTTTTAGAATAGCATTAGTGTGATTCCACAAATCTGTGCTAATGCTATGCACAGAGGGCAAAAAGATGCACTAACATGTAGTGTAGCATTGGTGTAGATTTGTGGAATCGTGCTAATGCTACACACACAGTGAGTAAATATGTGCCTGCTATGCTGCACTAGAGCACTTTTTAGCGGCATTATGGAATTTTTTGCTACTCCAAGCGCTCCAGAATAGCGTAACACACACAGCATAGCAGCGCACTAACACTACACAAGAAAATTGACACTGTTAGTGCAGCTCAGCATCAGTAGTGGTACACTAACACTACACAAAAAAGTGCCACTTTCAGCGCCTCTACAATAATGCTAAGTAGCCCTGTATAGCGTAGCTGAAATTAGGGGGGTTGGAAAAACAACTCCCTAAAATTTGCCAAAGACTCCCTCTTTGGGCAAGGGGTTGTTACTCCAAATGGATGGCCAACTTTGGGAGTCGGCCATCCATTTAAATTTCATTTTTTTTTCAATCTTTTGGGAGTTGGCTCCCCAAACCACCCCTCATTCTTGAGAGGATTTGGGACTTGCTCCCATGACCGGAAGGAATTCCTTCCAGTCAACAAGAAACAAAAAAACTCACTGGCCAGAAGGGATTCCTTCCAGTCAAAGAGGTATAAAAACCTCATTGACCGGAAGGAATTCCTTCTGGTTGACAAGAAGCAAAAACCTCATTGCCCAGAAGTAATTCCTTCCGTTCAATGAGGTATGGCAACCTCATTGACCAGAAGGGTTTTTGGTTTCTTGTCAACCAGAAGGAGTTCCTTCTGGTCATGGGAGCAACTCCCAAATCCACTCAAGCATGAGGGGTGGTTTGGGGAAATTCAGTTATCCATTTGAAGGAACAACTCCTGCCCAATGACCCCTCAACCAAAAAGGGAGTTGTTGGCAAATTTTAGGGAGTTGTTTTTCAAACCCCCTAGATTAGTGGCCCACCGCTGCCGGAACTGCTCATAATCACCACACATAATTTCTTTTAGAGCATCCATATTGGGGGCTAAATTTGTGCAAGCTAAGGACTTTAGCCGCAAAATTCAACTACACCAGGCTGAGCTAAGGTCAAGCCAAACTAGCTTGTGGCTCCGATTTAAGCTAACCGTTGCTAGATCGAGCAACAGTTAGCTCACAAGCAAGCTGTAAAAACTGAGACTATTTATTTCTAAAGACCAAAGAACCAGATACTAGAAAGAACAAGGTTAGATGAGAGAAAGCAAAATAATATATGAAGAGACTTGAAACTAACCCCAAAGTGGATAAACTTTATCCAAGACAGACAACAAAGATTTTAAGAAGAGAAAGACAGCAGTGACTGATAGAAGAATAAAAAGGATTAGTTGATTGAAGTTTTTACAATGATTGAATCTAGAAAGAAAAACAAACCCTATTGAGTTAGGTGTGTTGAGTGTTAAGTATAAAAGAAAGAAATAAACACCAATATCTAGAAGAAGATAACTGAGAGAGTTTGAAAGAAAGAGAGTTAGTTATGATCAGAATAAAAAGAGAAGATATAAGAAGGAGAATATGAAAATAAGAAATGCTCCAAGTGCATTTCTCACCAAGTTGGAAGCTACAAAGGATGTCCAATGTTAAAGCTTCGCCGTGACTTGTGGACGGTTGAGATTGAGTTGTTTTATCTTGATCTAGAGCGTTATTGAGTTGAGCAGTGAGTTGAGCGGTGAGCGGTGATTTGAGCGGTGTAGTGATCGATGAATGTGAGTGAGATTGATGAGGAAGGGGAAAGGAGAGAAGGAAGCGGTTGGTCACGAAGATGGAAGAGCAACCGTGTGCTGGAGTTAGGTTTGATTTGATGACAGTCTTTGTTTCACAGGAGTGTCACAAGTTTCTGTGTCACAACTGTTAACTTGGACTCAAGTTTCAACACAAGCTATAAGCAAACACCCATGAGAGTACTTGTTGGAATTTCAACTCTTCCCTTCTTCATCTCCTTCACTTCTCAACTCTTACTTATCTCTTTCTTGTATTAATACCCCAAACTACTGATAATTCTATAGTCTGTCTAGTAGCAAGTCATGAAATTTAAACATCAAATTCTTGTAGTCAAAGAACCCAGAATCCCTAGTTGTTAATTTCTTTCTTCTCCATGCTTATCTTCTAATTATTCTTAAAGTTTTTGGTGTTGAGATTGATTTAATAAAACTAACATCTTCATTAGAATTGTGGCTCTTGTTTTCTTTTGTTGTTTATCAAGTAGAGTTATCATATATATAAGAATGTCTCTCTCATGCTTCATCAACACTGAATTCAATTTCCTCTCAGTCTTTTTCATTCATTATTGTTTCTTTATTCAATTTTCTCAACAACCACAACTTGAACTCTTGTATCTAGTCTATTTAATCTAGTCTAGTACAAGAAATTAAAATCATCAGCTTTCTCCCTCATTTTTCGCCAACTTAAGCTGTTCCAACAAATATATTTTTGTTGTCCAAAATTTTTCTCAGAAACTCCACCCTGTTAATCGGTCCTAGTTTCATCAGTACTCCATATTGGTGCCCTCCTGCAACCAATCACACACCTCTACTTCAAATCACACCACACAGCTTACCTCAAGCCACACCAGTGTGGCTGAATAGGCTTTGCTATAGTAGCTTAGCAATAGCTGCGAGTTGAAACCGCTGGCTTTTAGCTCAACCGGTAAAGATGCTCTTACTTCTCAAATAAAGAGGGTGCAACCCAACCAATCACACTGTTCTAGAACAGTTTCTCAAGGACCAAAGTATGTACAAACATCCTGGCAACTTGGAGTGAAAGATAAATTGATTTGATCAGTAATGAGGTAGTGCTGAGGTTCAGTTGATCATTTAGGTCACATTTGAGGGACCAGAAAGATGTAACAGGGTTCATCACCAAAATCTACAATAATTCAGAACCCATTTTCAGGTGCTTACATATCAACATCATTTTGGAAAGTGAAAAAAAAACTGCATTGGAGGACTTCCTGTGTAAACTGGAGCCTCCCAGTAGTCAATCTAGACTCAAAAACTGTAGATTCTTGCAGAGAAATGTCATGGGAAGTCCTCCACTGATTGCTAGACACCCAACATCTCTCCAGCTTGAAAAATTTCTAAAATGTTATCCATTGAAGCTTCCAAATTGGCTCTAGAATCTTACCCATTTCAAATGTAAACCCCTATGATATGTTCCAGAAGAGATGATTGAAAAAAATGATGAACCTTGACAAATCACCCAGCAACGGACTTCTGCAAATCCGCAGCATCCGCTTCACGCCCTCTTTCGGCTGTCGGTGTGACGTATGTTTGTCTGGAAGCAATGTTTGTCCACAGGCACAAACTTCAGGTTTCTGTAAGACACACAGGATGTAAAAAGGTGTAAAAGCCTCGAGGCTTTCAAGATATGGACTTGGTAGTACACGACACTTACCAGCACACATGTATTGACAGCTGTAAAGTGTGAACTGCGAGCGCCGAAAACATCGATTTGCCGCCGCTTTAGTCGAGGTGGCCGATGGCCACTCAACTGCGCTTGGTGTAAATACATGTGTACACACGATATGTCCAGTTTGATTGAACGAGGAAGAACTTTGGCAGCCCCTGCCTGGCCTGCCGCCACCAGCAACAACCAGAGTGCTTAAAATTCCGTGCACACCTTCCGTTTGTCCTTTGTACCCACTTGAATTCCTCATTTCCCATCCAACACCCACACCTTCCATCCCAATCTTTTAATTATCAGTCAAAAGGACTCCCAACCCTACACCATGCGTCACTTCATCCTTCTTGCTTGGGTCGCCACCGTTTCCGCCCAAATGGACATGAAAGCGTTAATCGGGAATTTATCACCGCAGTGCCAAGCTTCCTTGGGCGGTCTCATGACAAGCCCGTTCAGCTCTTGCAGCAACTTGATGGGGTTGGTCAACATACTAGGGACCACCGGCTCCCTTCTTTCCCCGTGGAATGTAAGCAAACATCAATTTCTTGCTCTCGATACTACGTCCCTACTGATTCATGACCATTTCTGCCAATGTTACTCCAGACCTGGGTCGAAAGCATTTGTACCTCGGCGCCCTGCTCTCCGTCCGACGTCAGCACAGCTGCAACTACCGTCCGCAGCGGTTGTGAAGCTGATGCCAAGAAGGGAGTCCCGGCCGCTCTAGAAACCACCATGCTAGTCTCCAATTACCCGGCAGTCCGGTAAGCACCTGGTCCCGTCTCATCCACTTCGAGAATCACACAAATCTAAAACTTATCCCTTTTTCCCCATAACCCGGTCTGCAGAAATGCTTTATGCTTGCAATTCAAGTCCAATCACACCCGATGTGCCTCTGATCTCCTGGCCACCGCCGAGAAAGCTTCAGGTCGTCCGTTAACCTTGATGGAAGTTAGCGGTTTCTTAACCGAAGGCGTTAACAGCTTAGTCCCAGCTCTTTCCAAAGTACCCAAGGTCAGTCAGCACGTTCTCTCGACGTCTTGACTTATTGCTGAAAGCTTTACGACCATTCTCCCCACCACAGGAGGCCTTATGCAACGACTGTACACACGCCCTCACTACTGCGCTCTCACCCAGCCCTTCCATGCCCCCAATGGCCATGAACTCTTCCATGCCAGGAATGCCCATGAACGGCAATCCTTCCAAGTCTGGCAACGGAGCCGCTGGCAACGTCACATCTGGAGCTTCTGCCGTCTGCGGACCTTCCTTCGCCGATGGAAAGATCCCCGATACCATCACCGTGTCCAACGGTACTTCCTCATCCAACCCGGCCAATCCTGGTAATGGAAAGAGCCCAGCTGACGGAGCCCCCAACTCAGCCAACTCGCTCAGCCTTCCCGTCTTCACCTCGATTGCTATTCTTGGAACGGCGACAGCATTCTCATTCTTGTTCTAATTTAAACCCCACACCAATTAGCAAGATTGTCTGATAGTCCCACCTCACCACATTTGTCTTTTTTCAAAGCTTCTTCCCTCTCTGGTTTGAATCTGTCCCAGCTCTTCTCCATCTATCCCAATGTCTTGATGTTGCAGAACATCATTCCTTTGAGCAACATTCATTGACAATAATGCAACTCAAGTTTGTGCCAAGTTTTTGTTTGTTGGTCAAGATAACAATGTCTGAGTTCAGATGTTTGAGTCCATCAACCAAGAAACAACCTTTGCCTTTGGTTTCATCTCCTTGAATCCCCAGAGTATATGCCTGGAAGGGAATCCGCAGCAGCATAATCAAAATTCACATCACTAACTTGTAGCATGACACAATGGGTGCAAGCATGTGTCTGGGTAATGGGTGTGCCTTGGTGAACACTCCCACAGTGGGAAAGGTGATTGTACCACTGCAAAACATAACCCCAAATAATAAGTCATTTTTGAGGAAGGATGAAACCTTGATTGATCTTTGTAAAGCCAAACAAGGAGGACTTCCCTTTGGATTTATTGGCGTTTTAAATCCAGATTTACTACACCCTGTATGTAAATATGTTTTTTTGGGAAACACAATCATGATTTCTCAAATAGGGGAGTGATGGCTTTGATGTGCACTGGTCATGGTTGTGTTAAGTATCTTAATTTGGGATTTAGAGTTGCAGTTAAAGCCCTGCAAATGCCACTCTGAATTCTAAACTTTCAACACATGTATATGGCCAGTGTACCCAAAAGTCATCATTCCCATGATCAACAATGCTTAGTTACAATGCCCTACACTAACATGTGTTATCCACATACATAATACCATAACTACCCTCATTAAGTTCCACAGGCATTACAGTAACAGTGAGGCTTCCTGGGGGAGTGTATTGTATTGTTGGATTTTTGCTTACCTCTGGGCCCAGTGGTTGTTGTAATTTTGAGGAGACAAGTTAACACACTAATCATAGGAAAGAGATGGTATTTATTCAAGCTGTTTGTGGAAGAATAATTATGATCTATGATGAGCCCAAGATGGTGTGTAAAGCTTGACAACAAATGAATCTGAAAGTGCAGCAGTGAAGCCACCTTAATATCTAGTTTTGATTCTTTTCTGTTTCCTTTTTTTTCTCACAGATATGTGGAACTCTAACAGAAAATTCTTCAAACAACATGCAGACAATGATTAAGGAGATTGAGAATTTCAGGTGGCCATGATTCAAGGGCAAGTTGCATTGGATTCAATGCTTTTTTACATATATTGTTAGTAATTCTCCATTGAATCCTATCATCAATTGTGCATTTAATTACATTCCAGGCGGACAAATTCAAGTAGGAAAGAAAACATTTGAAGAACAAGAAAAAAATAAGGAAATCCAACACATATAATTGAATCATTCAAACTTCAAACAAATTCAGGTGTGTGTTCAAATTTGAAATTGAGCATCTGAAAATTGTGTTGAAAAACTGTTGAAAACTTTGTCTGATGTTTCCGTCTGATCTAATAGCAATTTTGATCAGTTCCTCTTCTCCTGAGTTCTTGATCCAATAAACCACGGAATCCCAAGTCAATTTTTCAACATGTTTGCTATCCCAATTCCTGTTTCTTGTTTGTCCAGATAATGAGGTCAGAAATTCTTCAAAACATTTCTTTGCATTTGTAAGAAAAACTGGGAGCTCTTCTTTAACTTTTGGTACAATTATGCTATCAATCATCTGAACATAAAAAATAAACACTGGAAAACATTGATTTAAAATGTGTGATGGGATTGATTTACTTTTCAATGAGTCTTCATCAAATTTCAAATCAAGGCTAACATTGTTCTTTCTTTCCCAAAAGGTTATCCATAGAGATTTCATATCCAACAATTCATCAAGTGCTTTTCTGTGCAGATAGTAAGCTACATTTGATTTGGAAGACCTTCTGTTTTGTCTGAATTCATTTTGAAAACAATAAGCTTGTTTCATTTCAATAAAAATTGTAGGAGCATCTTCATAATTCAGTGTCAAATTTCCTGTTGGATATCCTTCCATTTTTCTAATTGTCTCATTGATTCTTCCTAGCACTTCATCATTTGGATATTGAGGAGAAAGACTGTTTTTTTCAAAATACAATCTTTCCATCTGAAACTTTACTGTAGACTTAAGTTTATTGTTCAAGTGTTCAATTGAGGATATGAAAATCGTGTTAAAAAACCTTTTGAAGTTCAAGCTAATTTTTCCTGATTCTGGGAAGGCAATCTCTTTCATTTGTTGGGTGCCAGACTTATTGATCCAGTATGCGAGAAAATCCCATACCAAATGAGGCTTTTCCTTTTTCCAATTTTTTAGTTTGGAGTTTCCAGGGCCTAAAAGGTATAGACAATGATCTTTGAAATCTTGTATTGCTCCTGTCATAAGTCCTGAAATATTTTCTTTCATCTTTGCCATGGATTCATGCGGATTTATTATGTGATCAATCATTTGAACATGGAATAAAAATACTGGTAATATTTCCTTCACCTTCTCAGATTTGACCCCTGGACATTTTGTTTCTGTTTCAAATTTTACACCAGTCTGTCTTTCCCAAAATTTGAACCAAAGGTGTCTGTGTTCAAAAAGTTTATCAATTTTTTGCAATTTCATATCCTCAATAACTTTGCCACTTTTAGACGCTTTAGAATCAAACACAATATGTAAAGATCTGAACCGGAAAGCCTTAAGCATAAAACTGAACCATGGTGATGCGTTTTGTGAATCCAGCCTGAAATTTCCTGTTTCACCTAATGGAATTGAACAAAACATCTGATTAAGCCTATCTTTTACATGCTTATTTTCATCTTCAGAAAAAAGGGACCATTTGTTGAAGTACAAAAAATCCATCTTGGATTTAGAACTTTTCCAAATTTCATTTCCAGAATGTCTATTGATAGGAAGCGGTGAAGAAAACTGTGATTTTGATAACTCCTTTCTTATTTTAGGATTCTTGCTTAACTTATCTACAGCATCATTACCCTTAATTTGCTTGTGCTTTGAAACATCTGAAATGATGTTTGTCAAATAATTTTTGGAATTCATCCCCTCCTGAGAATTGAATTTAGTTTTGAGCAGTGGATTGGATCCCCTTTTTACTCCTAAGCCCCTGGATCTAACCCATAAGTTGTAATCCTTTTCAGACAACTTTTTATCAGTTACTGTGGGTTTCAAAGGCTTTGTTTTTGTATTTAGTTCCATAAAAACATTGTTCTTTTGTTGATTCTTGACTTTAAGTTCATATCCAACTTGCATCAAGTCCTGGGTTGTTTTCTCACTTCTGTTTGCGGTAGATATTATCTCAGGTGTTGTATGTTGTTTATAATTTAAATTCAGGTCAGAGATAGGGTCATTGGAACTTGACTTAACTGCCTGTAGAGAAGCTGACTTCTTTTGTCCTCTAGTGGGATTGGAACAGGCTCCATCTTCCATTAAATTCAAGAATCTTCCTGTGTCAGCACCAGTCTTCCTCATGGATCCCTTGGGAGAGAATGATAATATTTTAGCTAAAATTTCTACTTTTGATGGACTTGAACTTGCCTGTAGAGAAGCTGATTTCTTTTGTCCTCTAGTGGGATTGGAACAGGCTCCATCTTCCAAATTCAAGAATCTGCCTGTGTCAGCACCAGTCTTCCTCATGGATCCCTTGGGAGGGAATGATAATATTTTAGCTGGAATTTCTACTTTTGATGGACTTGAACTTGCCTGTAGAGAAGCTGACTTCTTTTGTCCTCTAGTGGGATTGGAACTGGCTCCATCTTCCAAATTCAAGAATCTGCCTGTGTCAGCACCAGTCTTCCTCATGGATCCCTTGGGAGGGAATGATAATTTTTTAGCTGAAATTTCTACTTTTGATGGACTTGAACTCATCAAAGAGTCTATTTTTTCATGTTTATTTTCTGCTAGCAATTGTTTAAAAATTTGTGAAGGGGACTGGTTTGTTTTGGTTTTCTTGAATTCTCTTTCTGGGATCTCATGATCCCAAAGACTTTTTCTTCTTTTAGAATTTTCCATAGGAATAGAAGTATTATCTTTTGAATCTGCTGGTGATGGGGGATTCAATGTACCTTCTTGTAGTAAGTTGGGGCTCATTCCTTTTTCCAGATGCCTTGATATACACAAGGAAGCTACACTTTTTCCTTGTGTTCCTTTGGGAGTAATTACGTGTCCTCCAGATCTTCCCTCTTTCTTTGAATGCTCCAAAAGCAAGCTATCCCATTTATTTTGTTCTTTGCCAATTTGTGACAAAGGGTGGATGGTTTTGAGCTTCTTGGCTACTGAAGCCATACCCTGGTTATCATGATTATCACAAACTTTCCTAATCTTACTATTTGCCCCTGATCTTGGAATATCCTTCGTGGAACTTGGTTTGATCGTGCCCTTGAATGGAATTTTCGGATTGAAGGAAGATTGTTGCCTGTGCTTTCCAAACCCTTGATGGACTGCAGTTCTTATGTACACTGAATCCAAAAAGTTGCCCAACAGATCACTCTGGTTTTCTTTCTTCTGTGGCTGTGCTTTGGTTGACGTGTCTTTCTGGGAAACCAGCAACTTCTTGTTAGCAATCGGTTGGATTTGTAGTCCACCATACAAATTAGATTCTATATGGGTACTTGACTGATGCAGGCAGTTTCTTGGGCTTCTAGTTCCCCTAGCTACTTGCAATGACAAAGAACAATCAACAAGACCAGATCCTTGATTGCTTCCTCTCTCTTGAGCTCCAAGGTCTTTAGGAACCCTTTCTTTTTGATTAAGTAACTGATCCGTCAAAGAGGGCTGTGTCTCACTTCCAGCGTTTTGGAAACTTGCTAGTGTAGGAATAGTGTTGTCAGGCTCTGTCTGAGCAGATGGGCTGTGAAAAATATTTGCTTGAATTTCAAGTTGACTAGGATATATTTGGCCCTCAATCTGTGAGGTTGCTGTAGAGAGCTTACACACATCCTTGCCTTGAGTAGGTCCTTGAGCTTCCACACTGGATAGAAAACTGATATCTGGTGGTTGACCAATACCCTTCATTGCATGGCATGCAATTGGAAACCCCAAGATGGCAAAAAGGCTACAATTCATGATTGAAATTTTTCTCCTGAGCCGATTTCCCCTCGGTGAGGCTGCTTAGTGTTCCTGACCGAGTGTGTTGAATGAATTTCCGAGTTGTGGCAATGTAAAATGCGGCTAGAGGCAAAGTTAATGAATTACCATGGGACAAGCTGACCGGGTATGTAAAACAAATCACAAAAAAGGTTCCTGTCCAGGTGTTTGGTGGACTTTTGAAACCACAGTTCACTTTTTCTTTGACGTTTCAGCGGGGGTGTCTGGATTCTGGTTTTGATTTATAATGACGTGTTACTGAGAGTGTAACGGGAAGTGGGGGGTGTCCATGGAACACGCACTTGACCAAGTCAAACAAATCACAAAAAAGGTTCCAGGTGTTTGGTGGACTTTTGAAACCACAGTTCACTTTTTCTTTGACGTTTCAGCGGGGGTGTCTGGATTCTGGTTTTGATTTATAATGACGTGTTACTGAGAGTGTAACGGGAAGTGGGGGGTGTCCATGGAACACGCACTTGACCAAGTCAAACAAATCACAAAAAAGGTTCCAGGTGTTTGGTGGACTTTTGAAACCACAGTTCCCTTTTTCTTTGACGTTTCAGCGGGGGTGCCCTGACTTAACTAAGCCTCCCAGGACTGGGGGTGCAGAGCACCCCGATGCGAAGCATCTCCCATTCCCAAGCGCTTCACGCCAGCCCAGGGCCCTCTGAAGCGAGGGACTTGTGTTAAGTCAGGGGGTGCCTGGATTCTGGTTTTGATTTATAACCACGTTACCACATCTTTTTGGCAAGTTTGTATGTAAGCACATTAGAGGCTGGCATGGATGTGTCGGGCCGGATCGGGCCCCATCACATTCCCATTCCAGACGGTGAATTCGAACGGCACATACTCACATCCCTACACCTGTGGGCACCCCTATACCCCATACTATACAGTAACCCAGGCCCCAATCTAAGCTAATGCAAAGGGCCTTTTCCGCGCCAAAAATAAAAACCCCGGGATCCCCAGGAATCGTAAAAACCCTGGGATTCGGGACCCCCAAAACCTTGGGCCCCATCACCAAAATCGTACAAGTCCCTCACTCCGCCCATGCCCCTAGGGCACCAGCTCTCCCCCTGCTACTTCCACCCCCGCTCGGCCATATCCACCCACTCGACCCAAAATCACACCCCCGACGGGCTCATCACACCGGGTCATAACGCCGGCCGGTCATAACACAGAATCAATATCATCGGCAACCCCCAGTTGATCTCATCTCCGTCCACGCCGCTCTCGCCGGGCTCAATCTCCACTCCTCGATCATCATCGGCTCGAACACTTCATCTTTGCTTGGCTCGAACACTGCCGACATCTCCACCCCTCCCTCCTTGGCTCGAACGCTTCATCTTTGCTCGGTGCTTCATCTTTGCTCGGCGCTTCATCTTCGCTTGGCGCTTCAGGCGCTTCATCTTCGCTTGGCTCAAACACTGCCGACATCTCCACCCCTCCCTCGCTCATCATCCTTCTTCGCTCAACTCAAACGCTGCCGGATTTCTCTACTCTTCACTCAGTCATTCTCTCATCATCTTCATCCGACTCAAACACTGTCGGATTTCTCTACTCTTCACTCATTTGAAATCGCAATCGGTATTCTCTCACTCACCATCCATGACAAGCACCCCCGGCTTGTCACACCGTCACACACTCACCCTGCCTCAGCTACCCACTCACTCAACCAGGCTCATTTTTGAGCCATCCCACACCGACTCTGATGGTACGTCAATTGATCTTCCTACTATCTCTGAAACCAGTCCTAATCGCTTGCATGCGCTTCGTCCGCGAATTCTTTGCCAAAAGTGACGATCGGACGAGATCCTTTTAGACAGTTTCCTATATGATCATTTTGTCCATTGTGTAAACGTTGACGACATGGAAGCGGATCGAAGGGGCATTAAGGCATCGGGAGGCCCATAAGTAGAGATCGGAGTGCCTTCAAACTTGAAGTAGAGCGCATGGTTGCAGGAGTTGAGGTCGGCCAATTTGTTGATGGATGGGAGGGTGTGCTTCGAGTCCAGTTTAGCATCTAACCCAAAGAAGACTCGACGTGATTCTAGTACACAAGTATCTCGAAATGTTTATGTTTTTGTCGGAATGAGGCGAGTTGCAAAGTAATCTTGCCTAATCTTGCCATTTGTGTTATTTTTTTTGTGTCTCTTTGCGATGTAGCAGTGGAGTCCCCAGGATGTTTTGTGTTAGACATAGCAATAAGATACTTTTAATATTTTGGACACAGCAATAAGGCACGATTACTTTCAGGCACAACAGTAGAAACCAGTCAATACAATGAAAAAAGATCGGCCTACAGGAAAATGGAGCTGGGCTAGGAAGTGATTTTTAAATAAGACAAAAATAAGTGTAGAGCAAGTAAAAAGAAGTAGTTTCTGGCATACATTGCCAAAAAAAATGAGATCGGAGCAGAAAAGAAGAAACTGGTAGAGTGAGTTATCAAAGGAATAGTAGGGTCAAGTCAGATCACCAATCGTCCGACTCTTCATCACTTTCTATGAGGATGCGCCCGCGTTTACGTGGCACAAATTCAGACACATCGGATTTGTCCTCGCTATTTGCCAACCTATCGATGCTGGGAGTTGGTGATTGAGAATCCGGAGGAGTGACCGATCTGGGTTGTCTGATGATCCCAACTGCCTGTGTTGAAAGAGATTTTTTTTCAGCAACAGCACGCTTGGGTTTGACCCGCTTCTGCTTGATGGGCTCGGGCTCAGGTGTCGGTCGAGTTTCATCACCAGCAGCCGAAGCTCTTTTCTTAGCTTGCTGCTTCTTAGTAACTTTGGGCCGCTTAGCAGCCGTGATCGTAACTCGAGTTGGGCTGGCATCAGAGTCGTCGTCATCAATTTCGTGGCCTATAGAGTTGCTCATGCCAACGCCAACCTCAGGCGGAGGGGGACCAAGCAGTCGCACCCACCCTTCCGCAAACGCCGTCAGGATGCGTTGAGCTTGTGCGTTCCGCATGTCTGAGGGACGTGCGCAGAAGTCGATTGGAAGGACACATTTATCATTCTGTTGCACCTGCAACGTCACTCCAAGACTGGCCAGGGTACTCTCGGTCTTGGTCCCCGGCCATCCACCCTGCCAGACACCGTGTGTAGCTTGGCCTGTACACCAATCATTCACTAGTATCAGTGACCGGTGGAGTGTTACTCCGAATCGGAAGCAGTGGTACTTACGAAGAGCACCCTTGAGCTTCTCCCGGACAGCCTCGATGTTTGCTTTCTTGCTACCTATCGAAGTAGATTGTATCAGATTAGCTTCACAGCCATGGAGAAAGAATAAAGCATTCATTAACTAACCAAGATCATGGGGGCAGTTTTCATCATCGTCTTTACCGCTTCGACGTTTCCTTTTATTGGTTGGTTTAGGGTACGATCCAGAGATGTCCTTGATGGCTTGTTGTCCATTCACAAATCTGTAGAACAAGCTACAAGGATTTGTATCGGCAGCCATGAGATCCAGAAACTCCTCGGCCATGAGACTGCCTCCCGTCTTGATGATAGGGGAGTCAGGATCACGCGAAGCTAAAACAAAGAATCCTTCGACCTGGTGCGAAACACTGAGATTTTTGAGCTTCAAAAGCCCACACAATGGAGACAATCAGTACAAGGTGTGTAATGAGACAACTTGATTTGAGAGAATCACTTACATCTCTTTTGATCTTGCGTATCCATAATGTCAACTTAAACTTATCATGTTTCTTCCATCGAGCAAAAGCTTCAGCACCATCTTGTGCTGGTGGAGCGATATTGTCAGGAGGAGAAATGGAGTCTAGAAAGTCTTGGTCCCTCCATTGATTTTTGGTAGTCTCGTCCAGGAGGTGCCATAGGCGGGCACACTCGCTCATCCGATCAGAAATGGACATTGCTTCTGTGAAATGAAAAGGTTTGCATGTCAGGATGGCATACATATGTATCTTTGTCAATGTTTTTCTAGCTTACTGTCATGGTAAATCGGACCGGCGACCTGGTCGTAAACACAGAAGTTATTGAAATTGGATGGGCCACGAATTCGAACCTTGTTCCCAAGATACTGCAAGACTGGTTTAGGGTGTAGTTTGCGCTCGATAGCAATCAGGTGGACCTGCGTCTGATACTCGCGATAAGCTTCATCAAGTGCAAGCTTGTCTTCAGCAGTCAGGCGCTCATACTCGGCGTACTTGACTGCCCGAGCCCGAAGTTGGTCAAGTGGCTCTCCGCGGATTTTATCGAGTGTTTCAGCATCAACGCGATGTCGTTTGGGTCGCTGTGTAGGGTCAGTGGGATCGATGATTGTCTCCTTTGGATGAGTGATGCTTGGGACAGTGTTCCGAGGAGGAGAGATTTCGAGCGGCTGGGTTGGGGCTTTCTTACGAGGTGCCCTCTTCTTCCTGGGCTTCTTAGCAGGCTTGGACGAAGTTGCACCTGGCTCAAAAGACATTGTCGGAGGCAAACTACCATTCAACGATGAAGCAACATAGCCGCTGGATAAGGGTTGGTTGGATTTGGAAGGGGCGAGTTGTGGGTCACATTCAGATTGATTAGCGGTGCCATTTCCGAGTGGCGATCGAGTGTACAAAACAGGCCGAAATTGTGCAGTAGCGGGTGTTTGGGATGCCGTATGGCCGGTGGATGGATTCTGATTTGCTGCACAAGTGGGAGATTGGCCTAGAGGAATATGGTGGGGATGACCCTGTGGGAATTCATGTGGGGACATCCCAACAGGGAAAATTTCCTGTCCGGTGGAATGAGGATGGGGTGTTAAGTCTGCCACATCTGAGGAGGAGATGGAGTCAGCGTTCAAAGCTTGGTCACAGCTTGCTTCATGGACGGGAAGGACTGACTACTCACAGTGACTTGGCTCGGTGGGGGTGTGAGTTGGGAGTTGACATTGTCGGAGAATTTGAGTTAAAAAAGATGAAACAGTTTGGTGGTCTTGGAGTTTGCTATTTTGAAGGGTAGGCTATTTGATGGACAGATCAAGAGGTGGCTCTGGGAGTCGGAGGAAAGGAACACTGGTGGAACCTGGTGGAACACCTACCCGATGGATGGATGGGCTGACACGTGGGAATAAGTGACTGCAGGGGGCTTATTCACATTTGTCAGCCCATCCAAGATACTTGGGCTCACTTGTGGTTAAACCACACACATGCCTGAAGGTGGACAAGTGGGTTTTTTGTTTCACCTGCAGCTCAGCAGTCAAGCTTTCCTAACATTACCAAAAACATTTTGATCCACAAAATTAGGCAAGGAATCAGAAAGCCCAAGGGGTTTTCAAGATTTGCAAGGACTCAAACAACCATCATGGCTCACTCCAAAGTGGAAATTGGTGACGCCAAAGGGGTACTAGTTCAGGTCAGTGATCAGTGATGATTGAGTGGATTCAAATTTTGATTAAGTTTTGTCTATACTAGAAAAAGTAACCTTTGGACAAATCTCAATTGTCATTAATCACCCCAAAGTTGCACAATAATTTCACGAAATTAGATAGGCCTAGGAAAATTGATTGAGTGAAGAAGGGATTGAGTGATTTCAAATTTTGGATAAGTTTTTGTATTGAAAATAACAAGTTGTGCTGGGTCAGTGTGACAGGACTAGTGCCAAATCAGGATAAACAAGTACAAGCCGGGAGTGGGCAATGATGATTGAGTGGTTTCACAGCTTGGATAAGTTTTTTAAAGTGTAAAGAAAACTCATTCAGCCTTTGAACCCAGTCAATTATCTTGTAGCAAATCAGGATGGCTTATGACCAACCAACCAACTTATTTTTGTATGACAACATGTTGATGTTTCTTGTGATTACATTTGATGAAATTGCAGGTTACTAGAAATGAAGCTTTTTATGACTACATCTATAGATCCAAAAACTTATCCAAACCTTGAAACCAGTCAATCATCATTGCTCACTCCCAAGTTGTGATCAGTGTGACAGTACTTGTGGCAAATCAGGATGACCAAGGACAGCTTGAGAGTGAGCAATGATGATTGACTGGTTTCAAAGTTTGGATAAATTTCATTTACACTTCCTAAAACTTATCTAAAACTTTGAAACCAATCAATCATCATTTCTCACTCCCAAGTTGTGATCAATGTGACAGTACTTTGTGCCAAATCATGATGACCAAGTACAACTTGGAAGTGGGCAATGATGATTGACTGATTTCAAAGGTTGGATAAATTTCATTTACAGTAAAACAAACTCATCCAATATTTGAAACCATTCAATTGTCATTGCTCACTCCCTAGTTGTACACACAAGTACTGTCACACTGAACCATCACAACCTTTGAGTGAGTAAAGATGATTGAGTGGATTCAAAGATTGAATGAGTTTTAAAAACTTGGCCGTGGGCAATGATAATTGCCTGAATGTTAGATAAATTTTATTTACAGTACAACCAACTTCTCCAATCTCTAAAACAACTCAAACATCATTGCTCACTCCCAAGTTGTCCTTGGTCATCCTGATTTGCTGCAAGTACTGTAACACTGACCAATCACAAATTTGGAGTCAGCAATTATGATTCCCTAAATATCAAATCATATATTATGATTTGTAACTCTGGAGTTGTAGTGGTTCAGTACTGCTGATTGAAAACTGATTCTAATACTTGGAACATTGAACTTTATAGATTAAAAACACCAGACCTCAACTGTAACTCTGATAAAAAAAATACTAAATTTATGTTCACAATTAAAAACACCAGACCTCAACTTTAAATCTGATAAATAACATACTAACTTTATGTTCACAATTCATTGTCAAACTACTTCAGTATTTGATATTAATCTCTCCTCTACATCTTCTCCATCATCTACATTCTCATCTAACATCAAATCTTCTAACTCATCATCAATTGTGCTTGAAGATGTACCAAGGTTTTCAGACTCAATATCAGACCGGCTTAGTTGTTCAACTAGATTGTTCCACTCCCCGATTGAACCTCGATTGCTGAATGGTTGGCAGCGCCGCCAAAGCCAAGTTACGTTGTCAGACCAATCTTGTATCAACTGACTATGGAGCCTGAGTCGTGCTTGCAATTCGTTTGCAACCAGCTGCAGTTTGTCTAATCGGCTGCATTCACCTAATGGCAGACTGTCTATATGATCAAGGGCACCATTGGCATCCCCCTGTAACAGAACCATTCCTGTCAAATGATTCAAAATCATTTCCTTTGTCAACCAAAAAATATATTTCAAGTCAATGGGAGAAGAAACTCACGGATTTCGATGTAGAGCAGTTTATTCTTGATTAGCTTGTAGTGGTCAATGGCCCATCCAGTAGCTCGAGCCAATTCCTGGGCAATAAGCTCAAACTCTTCTTGGGTGCGACTGAGCATTAGAACACAATTGATACCTGTTTTGACATCTGGATCGACGGACCAGGGTTCACTCGAATGATAATACAGACCATCGTTCCAAAATCTGTGGTCCATTGGCCAAGTTGAAAACTCATCGTAGGTCACAGGGTGATCATCTTCATCGGATAGTTGTTGATTTGGGTATTTTGCTTTGAACTGCCGGAATTGTTGATTATAAGCATCAATGAGTTTCTGGACCGCTGGCCGTTGTATTATAAGAAGCCTTCACAATCTTCTCCTTTCCACGAGTACCCAGCCGCGATCCCATTGTATGAGAATTGATCAAAGGCTGGCGCTCAGCGTTGATATGAACGGCCTGGACAAAAAGGGCCGACTTTGCATCCCAGAGAAGGAGCCTGAGCTTCTGCTCCTCAGTGTCTACAAAATAATACATGTACTCAACATGATTGAATCATGCCTCTAGACTGACCAACAACAAAATTACCACTTACCAGTAGTCTCAGGCATGTTTGCCACTCCCATTTCTTCCTTTTCTTGACGCAGCAGATTGGCTTCCTCCACAATGGAGTCCATAAGTTCTTGAATTTCTCCTGGATCTTCTAAAAGGTCCCGAGGGTTTCGGAGGCGTGTCCTGCAAAAACATGGCCAAAACTTAGTCAATAGCAATGCAGTCATGATCTCATGTGTGATAGTGACTTTACCTCATGAGATTTATACTTGCTTCTCGCTTGTATATTGACAAGAGCTTTGAACGGCGGGTATCCTCTTCGGTTGTGTGGTTGGATTGAAATTCCCTTTGAGCAGCCCACTGTCTCTTGAAGAAGCCAATTGTGAAGTTTCCGCCTCCTTGCCGATGGCGATTTCTTTTATTAAGCAGTTGGTCTAGCAAGTTTTGGTTCTCTCGGCGGCGTCGGACAGCTTGGCAGAACTTCCTTTGTAACCAATAAGCTAAGATGAAATCCAGTTAGGGATGGTTTAAACAGGGGAATGAGTAGGTAACGCATCATGACTTACGAAGTTGCTGAATTGACCGATGATTGTGGTGTTTCAAACGGTGTGATATTGCTGCAAGGCGATGGTTTCGAGTCGCATATCGCAGGGGGCTCACCAAAGGAGAGAGATAGGACCACATTCGCTCTAGACCCTCCCCATCAGACAGTCCCCAACCTTGGTTAAACCTAGGATGGTAATCCAACTGGCAGAGCCAGTTATGAACATAGGCGTGGAACACTGAGGTCCCAAATTTTATTCGATCTCGATATTGTGGTACAAGACCTCTCTGTTAAATGGAGAATATGCACCAAAAATGCAATCACTTAGTCATTATGTAACATGAAAGAGGTGTGATTGAGCACAGTGGGAATGAAACATACCAAGTTAATGTACTTGTCTAAACTGCATCCAATGTCGTACAAGATCCCCACTTTGCGGTTTGATTCAACTGCTGAGAGGAGGGCCTCTATGATAGCCATGGGAAAGTGCCTTTGCTCACCTGATTTGTATATGTTGGCAAGATATACAACAGCATCATGGCGGCAACAGCAACCCATTAGACCAGTATCATCGCACCCTTTCCATGTTGATTCATTTCGTTTATCATCAGCGGCCTTGTGGGAGTCTGCACATCGATCGGTCTATTTATTTTTTGCGTTAATGGTGATTATTCTTTGATTTGGATGAAAGAAGGAAGAAATAACACAACCTACCTGCTTAGGAGTCATCCCTTCTGCTTCTCTTGCGCGTATGGATTGAGAAACTTTGTCAACTTCGCTTTGCTTTAGAAAAACTCGAGGTGTTCAAAGTTGTTCATAGTTGCGGCTTGCGTTGGTTTGGTGACGGTGCTGGAAATTCCCGTCCAGGCAGACAATGAGGCGGTTACGGGTTGTTTCTGGGTAATCAAGTGGGTTGGGGGGTTGCGGTCCAAAGCATGCAGGGCATGATGTACAGGCTAGAATTTCTTGCTTAGTCAGTTGCAGTGATGAAAAGACTACCTCTGCTGTCTTTTCTTCAAGTTGGCGGAACAAGTCAACCGCTGCTGTGAAAGGTTTGCGAAGTTGCCGAGCCTTTTTGAATTTAGAATAGGAAAATTTTAATGTGATGTGCAGTGTTTAACATTTTGTGAGAAAAGAGATGGAATACTCACATGTTTTCCTTGGCGAGCGCGCAAGCGTTGAGAGCGAGGCTCAAGCCAAGAATTCAGGGCCACCGTAAAGGGGAGTGTGCCTACATGGCAGTTATTCCATAGATTGTTGTGGAAGATTAGTAGGGGAAGAGAAAATGCGGTTTGTGGTCGGACCGGCGATCCTGCAATGTAGCCAAGCTGAAGAAGTCGGACACCATCGAGTGTACATTCACAGAACCTAATAGTTTTTCGTCTTTGGCCTGAGAAGGTCAACAGAGGTGAATAATGATCAATGGTGAATTGGAGAATGGATTGGTGTAAGTTGTTTTGGCTCACCTTGTATGTCTACTAAATCGACTGTTCGATGAAACTCCCGAGAGCATGTCGCAGAGCAGCTGGTGAAACTGTTGTATGAGTTTGAACCGGTCCAGTCCTTTGTGATTGCTTTCAACTTCATGTAAGTTGCGTGAAGGTGGTGAAGAAGTACTGCTCAGTTGAATTCACGAGCTTGCTGACGATGCCTTTCTCTATCAGCTGCAATGGCAATATCAATCTCATCGGGTTGGTCTTCTAGCAAGTCTACCCAAACACAATTTTCTTCAGTTTCATCTTCTTGGTTATGTTCACCTTCATCGGGTTGATCCTCGAAATTGGTATCAGGCTCGTCTAGAACATTTTGGAAGGCAGGAGGTCTAGCGAGTTGTTCACGTTGACGGTCCAATTGTTCTTGGCGCCGGATCCTTGCTAAAGTTTCGGCAATTCTTGCAGCATGAACCTGTCTTTGTAAAATCTGACTACGATCCGCGGTTCGGACAGTGAATCTTGTGGTCCGCATGAGTTTGGTACAATGTTGTTGAATGAAGTCGGATTTTGGAAGTATGTTGTGGAGAGAATGTCCGGCAGCGTTTGAGTCAAGCGAGGACAATGAGCGAGGGAGGAGTAGAGATTTCCGGCAGTGTTCGAGCCGAGCGACGATGATGAGAGAATGACTGAAGAGTAGAGAAATCCGACAGCGTTCGAGTTAAGCGAAGACGATGAGCAAGGGAGGAGTAGAGAAGTCCGCAGTGTTTGAGCCGAGCAAAGATGAAGCGCCGAGCAAAGATGAAGCGCCGAGCGAAGATGAAGCGCCGAGCGAAGATGAAGCGTTCGAGCCGAGGAGGGAGGGGTGGAGATGTCCGCAGCGTTCGAGCCAAGCAAGGATGAAGTGTTCGAGCCGAGAGAAGGTGATGACCGAGGAGTGGAGAGTGAGCCTGGCGAGAGAGACGTAGACCGAGATGAGAGCAACTGAGGGGTTGCCGATGATATTGATCCGGTGTTATGACCGGCCGGTGTTATGGCCGGGTGTGATGAGCCCGTCGGGGGTGTGATTTTGGGTCGAGTGGGTGGATATGGCCGAGCGGGGGTGGAAGTAGCAGGGGGAGAGCTGGTGCCCTAGGGGCATGGGCGGAGTGAGGGACTTGTACGATTTTGGTGATGGGGCCCAAGGTTTTGGGGGTCCCGAATCCCAGGGTTTTTACGATTCCTGGGGATCCCGGGGTTTTTATTTTTGGCGCGGAGAAGGCCCTTTGCATTAGCTTAGATTGGGGCCTGGGTTACTGTATAGTATGGGGTATAGGGGTGCCCACAGGTGCATCCCTAGAATTCAATAAACAAATATGTATGAGTTTTTCTCAGCCTAATGATTCAAACAACAATAAAGAGGCAGGGGCAAAAACCACTATATGTATGTAGTTGATTACAAACCAATGGACGAGCAAAAATGATCTAAGGTTGATTTGATTTGATGTGATTAAATTCTTGCAAGTGTTGTTCATTGTGGAACTGGTGAACAAGATAGATGGTGTTGAGAGTTTACTTTTTCCATCTGATCCAACAGCAAATCTCTCTCAGTTCCTCATGTATGTCCCGGTTCAGCTTACACATGTAAACCCAAATCGATCCAGCTTTCCTTTAACGGTGACGATGGGGCCGGGGCCGAGTGGGGTTCCGGTTTCAAATAACGATGTCTCGATCTTCGGAGATGAGCATGCACATTTGAACAAAGGCTGTCATATAATGATCCGTCTCTGTTGTACTGGTGCATATTTGTAAAGAATTTCCGAGATTTTCAGAGGCTATTTCCTTTAGCAGGCAGGTTTACGGAAGGGTGCAGGGAGGATATTCAAATCCTAAGTTACGAGTAAATGAAAAAGTTTTTTAAGATTTTGATTTTTTCTTTTTGTTGAAAATGTAATATGATGGTGAAAACAAGATAAATCCCATAGGGGAACAAGAGCGAGTTCGGAGAGAGAGAGATTATTTAAGATGAAAGTTCGCTCGACGCGCGTCGGGATCTCAAAACTCCTCGACGCGCCTAACAACATACTATGTATAACTTATAAGTAGAAACTACCTAGTATGTATAATTTGGAAGTAGAAAATGTAACACGTATCTCTAGAATTAGAAATAAGAAAACAAAATCGGTCGACTATTTTATTTATGAGTAGTTATAAAGAAATAAAAGAAATTAAAGTTTTTTTTGTTTTTGTTTTCTTGTCCTGAGGTCGCCGATTGTTGACAAAATGCCCTGCCATGTACCTAGAGTAAAGTTCGGACAGCTTTGTCAGCGGCTAGTCTAATGGATTTTGAACCAAACTGATCATGAAATTGTTCCAAGTATGGGTGCATAGTCTCTTCGAACATGCCCCCTTTCACCCAAGAATCATCTGCCACTGATCCACCCCGCCATCGTACCAAATACTCATGAGACTTGCGGGTCTTCGTGGGCGCCCGGTAACCTATCAAAGCTTCAACATCCCGTTCATCCCAGAATGTAGGGTTCAAGGTCGCTGGCCCTCTTGGGGCATTGGGGCCAATACGATTTGGAAATTGTTGAGGGTCAGTGAACGGAAGCAAGAGTGAGGTATGAAAAACTGGGTGAATTTTAGAAAGGTCCTCGGGGAGAATCAGACGATATATGTCTCTGCCCAGAACCTGATCAATACGGAAAGGACCAAGTCGTTTGAAATCCAACTTCCCCGACGGACGGGTGGTTGCAATATTTCTCCGCAAAAGCCAGACCCAATCGCCAGCCTCATAATCGGGGCCTGCCCTGGCGCGCTGATCGAAGTATGTCCGTTGGACCTCCTTCGCTCTCAGCAGATTATCCTGTAAAGTCTCCTGCACCGTGGTCAAATCCTTGAGCAGACGCTCCGCAGCTGGAACTGCTGAACCTTCACTGAGGGTGTTGACTCTCGGGTGGAATGCGAATTGTGAGAAGAATGGGGAAAACCCTGTTGAAGCAGAGACGGAGTTATTGAAAACAAGCTCAGCTATAGGAAGTAAATCCACCCAATCGTCTTGTCGGTCTGACACGAAATGGCGCAAGAATGTTTTGACTGTCTGATTAGCCCGTTCCGTCTGTCCGTCCGTCCTAGGGTGATAAGCCGTTGAGGGAGCTGGTTTTATCCTAAGGAGACGCTGCACTTCCTTCCAGAATTTAGACACAAACAGGGAACCACGATCAGAAACTATCTTGTCCGGCAACCCATGAAGACGAAAAATCCGATCAAAAAATGACGCAGCAAATTCTTCCGCGGTCCAGGTCTCGTTCGCCGGGATTAGGTGCACTCCTTTTGAGAAATGATCGACGACTACTAAAATAGAGTCATATCCTGATGATAACGGGAGTTTGACAACAAAATCCAAACCGATCGTACTCCACGGTCTTTCTGGAACTGTCAGAGAATTCATTAGTCCTGGGGGGCGTTGATTAGAATGTTTCGACCGTTGGCAAGAGAAACAAGACTTGGTGTAATTGATGACATCACGCCTGATCCCTGGCCAAAACATCGTCCTACTGATCAGATCCAACGTCTTCAGGGATCCCGGATGACCAGCCGTAGGCTCATCGTGGAAGTCCTTCAGGATCCGAGCACGAAGTGACTGAGGCACAAAAATCCTGTCACGGAGCCACCACAGGTCGTCTCTGAGCACTAGACCGTTGTCTTCCTCGGGGTCGGGCGGTTCTTTCTGGTATGCATCAATTAACAACTCCTTCAGGTCTGTCGAAGGGGGGCAGAATGACCAATCCGTCATCTTTGTGTCAGCTACAGGGTCAGGATCCGACTCCCCATCAATCTCCTCAGTTGGAACTACTTCCCCAATATCGATCCAAGGGTCGAGATCATTAGGCACGGATCCTCCCACTCGTACACCATCTTCCGCTTGGACGAGTAGCGTACGCTGAGAATGATCTTCACCATTGGAGGGCAGGAAGTCGGGTCTACGAGTAGGTGGGTCCGCTGGATTGCGCTTCCCTGAAACATGCTTTATCACAAGGTTAAATGAAGACAGAAAGACCGCCCATCTCGTTTGTCGATCGGACAAATTCTGATTAGTAAAAAAATATTTCAGATTTGCATGATCCGACATTACGATTACTGGTTCCCTTGTATCCATTAACCAAGCCCTCCATTCGATGAAAGCCTGTACTATTGCGCCCAGCTCCTGATCGTGGCATTGCCATGATGACTCATTCTCGCTCCACTTTTTCGAAAGAAACGAGACCGGTCTGAGCTGTCCAGTTTTATCCTTCTGCGATAAGACTGCCGACAAAGCATATTTTGAGCTGTCAACGTAAAGAACACGTTCCTTAGTAAAGTCAAAGTGCTGCAGGAGGGGGGCTTCCGTGAAACACTTCTTTAAGGTTGAAAACGCTTTCTGAGACTCAGCTGTTTGTAGCCCCGCAACTGTATCCTCGCTTTCCTTTGTCAACGACGTCAATGGAGCCGCGATCTTAGAGAACCCCGATATGAATTTCCTATAAAAATTTAAATAACCTAAAAATTTATTCAGTTCTTTCAAATTTTGAGGGTACGGCCAATCCATCACAGTACTCAGCTTATCCTCCTCCATCCTAAGTCCCTCGGGAGAGATGACAAAACCTAGAAATGTTACTTTGTCAGCATAGAAAGAACACTTCTCTGGGGAAGCAAAGAGAGAGTGTTCCTTGAGTTTTTCAAGGACCTGCAGTACATGACGTTGATGGTCTTCTCGAGTCTTGGAAAATATTAGAATATCATCAATATACACGAAGCAGGAAACACTGATCATCTCACGGAGGACAAACTGAATGAAGCGCTGAAAACACGCTGGGGCATTAGCTAGCCCAAATGGCATCACCAAATACTCAAACAAACCCCATGGTGTGCGGAACGCGGTCTTCCACTCATGACCCTCAGCTACCCGCAACAAGTTGAAAGCCGCTTTGAGATCAATCTTAGTGAAAAATTTACATCCCTGCAACTGATTCAAAAGGTGCCCCACAATGGGGATCGGGTAGCTGTCGCGGACTGTCATGGAGTTGAGACCGCGATAATCCACACAAGGCCGGGGTTTCTTACCTGGGACTCTGACAAAGAATATGGGGGCAGCGGCACTAGAGGAAGAAACACGGATAAATCCTTTTTTCAAATTTTCATCAATATAACATTTCAATTGCTGCTGTTCATCAGACGACAAATTGTACAAGCCCCCAAAAGGGGGTGTGGCTCCATCCTTAAGATTAATAGAAATATCCATTTCTCTATGGGGAGGGAGTGTACAATTCATCTGCGGCATAAAAACGTCAGTATATTGTTGAAATTCTGGCGGAAGAGAAAAAGGAGGAGGGGAAACGGTTTGAAGAGAGAACACTTCATTACCTCCAGGCTTCCCTCCCAACGACGTAGACTCGATCACGAAGAGGGGGGTTGACCCTAAAGTAAATTGATGTCCTCCTTTCAAACTACCTGATGCTACCCATCCCTGCCGATCCAACCATGGCAATCCAAAAATGGCGTCCACCGATCCAAGACGAGTGATACCAAAAGAGCTTTGAAGTGTGAAAGGCTTTGCATCGATTGTCGAGAGTTGAATCATGCCGGCCCAATCCTGAGTAACCAAACCTCCTACTCCCTCCCGTCCATCGAAGCCAACACAACGGATCGGAGTGTTTCGCGGGCGAATCTTGAGGTCATGTTGTCGGACAAAACTTTCATTGATAAAGTTTGCCATTGCGCCGGTGTCGACCAGGACGGTGGCCGGAATCATGGAACCTCCAGGACCCTTGAAGGATACTGGGACAAGCAATCGACTACCATTGGATCCCTCCAGTCTGACCTGAACCGTTGACAATGGGACCTCCACCGTGGCGCAGTCTTCCTCCTCATAATCGTCGTACTGCTCATCAAACCCCACAGAAGTCGAATAATTTGTGGTGTTCGTACCGTCATAGGGAGTATCCAAAGCTGGTGGAGGTCTCTCTGGAAGTGGGAGCGGAGCAGGCGGTGGGACCGGTTGATATGTGAGGAAGTTGTGGGTCGGGGAAGGGGTAGTTTTGATGCTGGAAATCGAAGTGGAGGTGTTCTGATTTCGTCGGCATTGATCCACGAACTCTTTACGCTTCTCGTTGGTGATGAACATATTGGGACAGTTCAGACTGCCGGTGTGGACGCCCGGTATGATTGGGGCCAAGCAGCGGAAGCACAAGTTTCTTGCCCGACAGATCGCTCGAGCCGCGTCCAAAATGGATTTCCCAGCGGCCGCCAAAACAACACGGGTCGCATCAATCTCCATTGCGTCGGGATCACGCGGAGGCCGAGGTGGTTGGGGTGGCGGGTGACCCAATTGGGTCGAAGAAAGCGGATGAAGTTGGGACCCCGCAGGTGGATCCGGAGGTAGCAACACCAGAATGTCGAGTTGAGCCGCTGCATCCGAAGCCAATTCCATCTTCACATCGAGGGTCTTGGCATCGATCCACTGCTTTGACATGGCCTTCCGGACGATCCGCGGATTGAGGCCCTGAGTGTACTTCTCAATACGGGTCGCTTCAACATCTTCCACAAGATAAACCAAAGATTTGAACTGAGAATTGTACTCCCCAATAGTCAGTTGTCTTTGTTTACACGCTTCCAACGCCCTCTTCGCGTTTTCGCGCATGAACTTGTCGCCGAAGACCGCAATCAACCCATCGAGAAAAGCCGAAACCGAGGCCAAGGTGGGAAGCTTGAAAGGTTGTCCATCCAAGTCGCCATACACGTCGATAACACCCTGTTGACGGGCATTATCAATCACCAGAGAATTGTACCAATTCTCCGCCGGCGAAGGTGTTTTCTTTCGTTCAGCCGGGTGAAAGCCGAAGTGACGGGAGATCCAGACCACGTGCCGTTTCTCGGAATTGAAGTTCGAATTATTCCGAAGAAAATCGCGAATTGTCCGAAGAAACGAAAGTAGGTGGCCTGGTTCACCCGAAAAGTAAACGTCCTTGAGCCGCGATGGTTCCGGTTGGGGCAGCGGTTCTGGTTCTTGAACCTCTGGAAGAATTCCCGGACGCTGAAACGGGTTGGTTGTCGGAGGACCGGCGAACTGATTCATCTGCGGGGGAGGAGGGGGAGGCTGGAGCAACGGAGAGTTTTCCAAGAGCGTCATCATCCTGTCCATCGACCTCTGCATCCGAGCGACCTCTGCCGCGACGTTGTCCAACTCCTCGCCTCGAACCACGCGCGTAGCCGGCGTCTCCGATTGTTGAGGACCTCCAGAGCCGGAACCTTGTGGTGGATCAATGTCATCTTGCGTCTGATCGCCTTGATTAAGCAACCCGTATGGCGGCATAACAGGTCGAGATCGAGATCCGGGGTGCACCCTTCGAGCCGGTAGCAAGGGGATGAGCGGGTGTGAGAGGCTTGAACGGGTATGTTGGAAGTGAATGAGCCGATCAGATGGGAATGATGAAAGTGTCGGAGAGGGAAAGGGGGAAATGTGATCAGAAGTAGAATGAATGGAAAAAAATTCGTCGGGAGAGTCGTCCGACAGTTTGATAGAGGGGTTTCAAGGTCTATCGATAAAATTCAGTTTATAAGGTCGTGTGGGATTTATAATGTAAAGAATTTCCGAGATTTTCAGAGGCTATTTCCTTTAGCAGGCAGGTTTACGGCAGGGTGCAGGGAGGATATTCAAATCCTAAGTTACGAGTAAATGAAAAAGTGTTTTAAGATTTTGATTTTTTCTTTTTGTTGAAAATGTAATATGATGGTGAAAACAAGATAAATCCCATAGGGGAACAAGAGCGAGTTCGGAGAGAGAGAGATTATTTAAGATGAAAGTTCGCTCGACGCGCGTCAGGATCTCAAAACTCCTCGACGCGCCTAACAACATACTATGTATAACTTATAAGTAGAAACTACCTAGTATGTATAATTTGGAAGTAGAAAATGTAACACGTATCTCTAGAATTAGAAATAAGAAAACAAAATCGGTCGACTATTTTATTTATGAGTAGTTATAAAGAAATAAAAGAAATTAAAGTTTTTTTTGTTTTTGTTTTCTTGTCCTGAGGTCGCCGATTGTTGACAATATTTGAACCGGCATGAGGAAGCTCATGCTTATGGTTATGTTCCTTAAACTCTCCTTACCCAGAAATTGAAACACGTCGATTTGTTGGTGCATGTTATAAAGATGTATGTATTTACAACAAACAACAAAAAAAGCCTCACATGAAAGCTGACCTTTTTTTTTATTATATTCTTGACCTAATGATTCAAAAAGCAATGAAGAGGCAGAGGAGAAGAAAAAAAAAATGACGATAATTGATTACAAAATAATAGATGTTGATATGAAGAAGAAAAAGAGAGAGAGAGAGAAAAGAAAAGATGGATGGGTTCATTTTGAATGATGGTAGAAAACGAGAAAGAGAAGGGGAAAAAAAAGAGACTTGCCAACACAAAAAACTTAAACAATTTTGATTTATTTATTATTGATTACATAGAGGATGATAAGATGAAACATCGGGGGGGGGGGTGAGTCTTGAGGAGGAAGGTCAGAGGGGGAGGAGGGGCATCGAATCAATCGAATCCTTCATCAATACCCTTGAACCTGAATTCACACAACAAGCAACCGACATATAAACAAAATGAGCGAGACGTACAAGAAAGTTAAATCAGCAACCCCAGCAGACCAATTGGAAAAAATGTAACAAAGTGATTCTTCTCAGACGTACGATAGGGGATCGAATTGATATCCAGCACCCTCATAATGTTTGCCATTACTTTCGACCCAATGCAATCTGAGAGCATGCAAGAACGCGGAGAGACCTTCCATGACGATCAAGATAGCGACTAAAAGAAAGGGGAAGAAGAACAAGCAACAAAAAGAAGAAAAAAAAAAAAAAGGTGTCAGTCGAAAAGAAAAGGAAACAAGTGCACAAAGATGATGATGCTGAGAGACACACCAGTCAAGCTCATCCACATCGCAAACAAGAAGACCGTCGCGACGATGCCCAACAGACCCTCGATTCCAAACGAGAGCTTGATAGTCATCGACCACAAGACTTCGCTCAACTGGGCATGGGCGAGTGAGAGGGCCCAAAGCCGGAGGTAGGAGGCGGTATTAGAGATACAGCCGAGGGCGAACTCGATCGTATGGATGGACTGATGGATGATGATATCGCCCATATCGAAGCCCTGGACAGATTAAACAAGCATGCATCAGCATAAAAATCCTACCCCCCGCGCGCGCGCAGATCTAAAAACCGGGCTCACATGTTCATCACCGTCAGCGTCATGATGAGAGGCCACATGGCCGGCTTCTTCTTCGTCCACCTCATGACTAGTCCGTCGTAGCTCATCCTGACTGTGGTTTTGACCGGCCACTCTTCCGTATCCCTGGCCGAGGATCTTCTGATGCGCCTGGTATTCCAGATACGGCTTCACACAGAGCATCCATGGAATGCAGACCAGGGCCAGTAATAAGAGCACGACTTGGATGAACGGCTGGCCCGCATAGAGCTGCTCCTCCGGATCAACCGATCCTGGTGCTAAGAACATGTAAATCAGCATATTCAAGATGCTAGACAAAATCACAGATCAGTTTCCGTGTGATTTCAGTCGCAATGAATGAATAGCTTAGGACAACTCACTTGGGAGGGTTTCTTGCACCAGGTTGAGACCAATCGATAGACCACTTATAAAGAATCGTCAACACGAGCTAGCAAAGGATCGAGCATCATTTAGAAATTAGTCGTCTACATGTTTGAGAAAAAAAAGAGAGCGGGAGAGACGATCTTACGTAACCGAAGATGGACTCCATGAACAAAAGCTGAGGCAGAAATTCGGCCCAGATGCTATTAAACCGACCGAAGAAGAGATGGTTTGGAACTTGTAAGCAGATGGCAAAAGTCATCTGCAAGCAATCAAGAGCGAAGTGAGAAAACAAAACACAAGAAAAGGATAAGACAAGTGCACGTGCTGAGTTTTAGAAGATGTTAGATTGGAGTCAACAAACATGTATGACCCCGAGGATGATGGACATCTTCATTTTCAACGAGTTAGTAAAGATGAGGTTGTTTTCGGCCCCATGCCAATTAGGATCGATCCCGAGAGGGTAACGAGCATCAGTTAGCTCGGCCGTCACCGTGCCCGGCGAGATGTGCTCGGGCCACTTCCACGCCGATTGGGCTAGAGTCAGTGAAAGTGAGAAGATATCGTTGTACATCTAGATCGAGATAATTCAAACAATCATCATAAAATAAGTCCTTGGATCTTTGGTAATTCAACGTTTTAAAAAATAACAAATCAGATATATATGAAGAAGTAGAATGCTTACGATGCCCGTGAAGACTGCAAAGGCGCCCATCAATAGGATGATGTAACGACCGAAGAAGAACATCGAAAAGATCTCATTCTTAACTTTCCCGAGTTCATTTTCTTTGACGACCAAGTAAAGGGCGGCCATGAACATGATGAACCCATGGCCGATATCGCCGAACATGACGGCGAAGAGGAAGGGGAAGGTGATGATGGTGAAGAGAGCGGGATTGACTTCCTGATAGGTGGCGATCCCATAAGCATCGACGATAGCCTGGAAGCCTTCGGTGAATTTGTTAGTCCGATGGAACGTTGGCGGCTTAGTCGATGTCCGAAGTTCATGCAAGATCGCCGGGACACCGGTGCCCAATCTCTCGGTGGCTCGATAGAGCGCCTGTTGGACTGCAGAGATATCACGGGTCGGAACCCAGCCTTCGGAGACGAGAGCCGATCGACGTTGGTCGTGTGAGAACTTGTTCATTGTCGCATAGATCACTTTCTCCTTCCTCACTACCGCCCACCATCCCGCTAAGGCTTCGCCAATGTTACTGACCGCGTTGCGTCGGGTCTGGTTGGTGTTGTATAAGACCACACTGATATCCTCGATCCGTGAAGTTATGTCTCTCAGCGAATTTTCTCGGACGGATGGGTTCGGATCAACTGGTACAACGTTTGCGCCCAAGGATTCTGAGATCTTTCGGATCTTGCTTCGTAGTTCATCGCCATCTTTTTCAATGATGAATTAGATCAATCGTCATCAGAGTCATGGATTGCAATGGATAAAATTGGAAAGAGGAATTTTCTTACGAGCGAAGATTATAAAGACCACTTTGCGCATAGCTTTGGCCTTTTCTTGCTCGGCTTGTGAGGCCGAGGCCGGCAAAGCAGCCATGGCCGAGGTTAGTGGCTCATCAATTTCCGCCTGCTCACAGGAACTGATATTAGTACCCTAACATAAGAAGAAGTGGGAAAAAAGGAAGTAAAGTGAGAGGGCTAACCCAATTCAAATATAGGTTCCCGCGCAGGACTCTCCAAAGAACTCGTTCGAACGTAGGCATTCGGGCCCGATCGATCGTACCGGCCACGAACTCCAGCTCGAAAGCAGCCCCACCAGGCCCGCTTTCATCAGGGAGGTCAGCGCGGCCTGCCTCGGCGGCATGGTCCAACAGACCGGCGCGATCGTCGTCAAAGCTGCCCCTCGTCTGACGCTCTTCTTCCGGACTACGATGTTGGGCGCGTTCGAAGAAGATCGCAGTTTCGCGGAGGACATGTTGGGCCTCTTCTAATTCGCCGAGTCTCTTTCGGAGAGTATCGTAGCTTGCATTCATCGTGTTCAGACGGATCTCTTGGTCCTTGAGCTCCAAGTTCAACGAGTCCAGTAATGAGGCATAGTGCGAGTCCGACGACGGGTCCAGCAGATGGGCGGATGTGGAATGTTGCAGAGGCCGGGCGGTGATGTTTTCGGCCTCTAAGAGCGAATTGAAGAAGGTTAGTCGACGGGTCATCTCATCGAGCAATCGAATTTCGGCCACATAGGTTCTTTGGAACGGATTGACATCTGCATTGAGCTAAAAGATCCAACGAATCTTACGTCAACAACACGATAACTACTGACGAGGGACGAATCAATGTGTGTGTGTGTGTGTGGTGTACTGACATCTTTGAATTGGACCCTTCCCAGCTTGGCTAGTTCGGCGACGGTTGGATGAGCGACATCTGGAGGGATGAAGATCTGCACGAGGGACATCTCCTCGGAGCGAAGGAGACTCGACATGGTGCTATGGCCTGTTTGCTGGAGTAAGTGTTTATTTCCTGTGTTGTATGTGGTGTGAGGGTGGTGTTGGCTTGGATCGAGTCCAGTGGATGCGCGCAGAGGAGTTGGCAGTCGAAGTCTGAAACTGGTTTCCGAGGGTAAAGTACCGGTTTTGTCCCTCGAGACCTGCGCTGGCGCAACAATCCATTTCATTGACCACTCCCAGATTCATTAAGGGGGTTCACTTACTGCTGATGTTGACCATCAGCAGTCGGACTTTGCTGGACTAGCTGTTTTAAGGTTTATGGGAAAACAAAAGAGTTTAGTGGGAGGCTCACCTTTGGAGTCGAAATCCCACAATTAACGTTCATGAAGTTTGTGCATCAGCAAACAAACCTTGTTCAAGACCAGCAAAGAATTTGGTGAAACGTGAACTGCCCTATTGATTGATTGATACATGAATGGAATGACACTTATAAGAAATCCAAACAAAACAAAAAAAAGGGAGGAAAGAGATCAAGTCAAGATCAGAGTAGCCTTGAGAGTACAGATGGATAGATAGTCGTCTAATATCCTAATCTTCCTTTCTCTCAGCACTCTCACTTGCCCAAAATGAATTTGAAAGCCTTTGAGAAAAACAAAATTTAATTATTTTTTATTTTAATTCACAAATTTTGAAACTTTATTTATTTTTTTTGTTTGTTTTTATTTTTTTTTCATATTCAATTTTTAGAACCTATATTTCTGCATTGTTTGACCAAGTCAGTCTCATGACTTCAAGTCTGTGTTTTGGAGCTCTGGAATCCAAAAAATAAGCAGCCACTTTTCACTGTCTAGGCACTGTACATGAATGGATTGACACTTAATTAGAAATGCAAACAAAACAAAAAAAGGGATGGAAAGAGATGAAGTCGAGATCAGAGGACCTCTAGAGAGTATACAGATGGAAAGAGATAGCCGGCCGCAACCACGCCGATCTTGGTTATTGAATGTGAGAGAGAGTCACCAGAGATTACATGTACATGCTGTGATGTGATGTTACTTATATATATATATATCTTAGGACTGATAACTTGAGAATTGGACTTTTGACGATCCATTTGCGATTGTATTTGAGGAATGAAGCTGTGAGTTTTTGAAGAGATTCTTGAAGAGACATTGGATATGGATTTGAGTATGAATCTGAGATGGAGTGAGTAGAACTTTGAAATTCCTGGCTCGGAATCTCGATGATGATGATGAACGGTGGATGGTGAAGTATGAGTATGAGTAAGAACTATATTCTACCAGTAAGACCTTCACAGTCCGAACTACCCAGTCAAAAACCTCGGACGTATTGTGATAAGAAAATAATACATAAGCGCGATCGAGTGATACAAGTACAAAAGCGAGACAGAACGACGGGCGAGTTGAGAAAACTTTTTTTGAAAAAAAAAGTACACAGTATAAGAAGTGCAGAAGCACGATGAAGAGAGAAGAAGTAAGAGGAAGGGGGAAAAGAAAGGGGAGGAGGAAGGAGGATTAAGGGATCAAGAGATTGCAGGAACGCAAGGGATTTGCGAGCGGGAAGACTTTCCAAAGCAGATGATGATGATGATGATGATGATGATGATGATGAGGTGGGTGAGCGATCCGATCGGCATGATCTTGGTGAAGCTCAAGATGATGATGATGATCGTGGAGAGGAGGGCCGAGCAGATTGGCGGGCATGCTTTGATCATCCTCCTCTTCGGAAGGTAGAGAAGAAGAAGAAGAAGAGGAAGAGAGATGGTTGAAGACGATCTGGAGTTTGGTGACGAGGAGGCCGGGGAGTGCTCGGCTCTGGCGACGAGTAGTGGCTGAGCTGTTGTGGGTTCGTAGGAGAAGAGCGTCGCGATGATCATTGGTCGACTCGAGTTGCTGTTCCTGAGAATGTCCACGATCGAGATGAGGGTGAAGATGGAGGAGGTGGTCGGAGTTGATCGAGTCGAGGAAGGAAGAGGAGGAGGGAGAAGAAGAGGAGGGGCCGGGCCGGGCCGGGCCGACGAGGTATTTGAGCAGGATGGTTTGGCCGTCGAGGTGGGCGGTAGCAGCGATGATGAAGTCGTAGGAGTTGAAGTCGATCGCTTCGAGGGAGGGCGAGCAGGGGAGCATTAGTTGATGATGAGGAGCTAGAGGAGGATGAGGAGTAGGAAGAAGATATGGGAGGAGTGAGGAGGAGGAGGGCGGGGGAGTGGGGAGGGGGAGGGACTCGAAGCGGTAGCGGGCCTTGATGGGCACCAGACTGGGCAGATGGCCGTCCTCGACGATCTCCTGGTCGTCCGTCTTGGGCTCCGTCGGACGCACACAGAGGAAGCCCCAATGGGGCAAGCCGAGCGTGCTGGAGTCTCGCCGCCGCCGGGGCCGGGTCGGCCGAGCGCGGCGGGGACGATCATGCGTCGAGCGGAGGAGCAGTCTGCGCCGACGGACTTCACGCTCCGAGTCTGAAGCCTCGCCCCCCAAGTAGGTCCGTTTGCGTTCGCTACGTCCCCGGGAGTCTGGAGGCTCGCCGGACGGCTGTAGGCTGGATTGGTAGATCAGCCCGGGCTCGCTCAGATACGCCTGCTGTGGGTCCGGGGCGCCGTCGGAAGACTCGGATTCGCTGTCCGAGTCGTCGATCTCTTCCATCAGATGTTCGAACCAGTCATACTCGGCCTGTTCCCTAGTACTACTACCACTACTACCAGAAGTTTCGGTCGAGCGACTCTCCAATTCGAGTGTTCCCGACCGACGACAATCCTCCAATTCGGGCTGGTTGGTCGAGTGAGCTTCGGGATCGACCGGTTCTTCTTGTTCTTGTTCTCCTGGACCCTCGATCGTCCCTGGGGTCGTCAAGGCCGAAAGCAGGTTGGACCAGTGTACTAGTTTGCGCAGACAGGGTCCTCGTCGGGGTTGGTTGAGTGGTAGGATCAGTTCTCCTGCTAGTTTAGTCCGGGTGAGTTCGGAGATGTTTTGGTTGGTGGCTGCTGGGACTGCTGGCTGCAGGCTGTCTTGAGTTGGAGTAGTATGTTCTTTCATCTTCTTTCCTGAGGTTGTTTTCTTCTGAGCTAGCCAGGCTGAAGTTGGTTTTGGTTTTCTGGGTGTTGTTGTTTTCGGGAGTGCTCGGTTGTTTTTGGAGTGGGTTGTTGTTTGGTTGAGGTTGTTTGATGATATGATGAAGCAGTCAACTGGGAGTTGGTTGAGTGGTTGGTTGTGATGTGGTGGGATGATATGGATTATAACCTAATCGGCTCACTCGATCACACCATCTCCCTCAACCAGCTCACAACCTCCGAAGAACACAAACCTCCTGCTCATACAATCTGGTGGGGCCCGGGATCGAAGACTATATTAATAATTACCTAAAAACAATCATCCATCCCACCATCCCCTGATTCATAGCACACCATCATTCCACCCAGACCAGGCCAACTCACCCAGAGCGTGCTGGAAGTCAAATTGCACCATACTTCAACTGCATCATATCATCATCACTTGGCCGATCCATCCGAACTTTGTCACTTGCATGGGTATCATATTCAAGCAGACAAAACGTTGATATGGATTGATCAGAAGCTTTTGTAACTGACCATAGGATAAGATCATTTGATCCCTCCACCAAAGAGAAAAAGACTTGCAAAGGAGAAATGGATCATAGAACTGTTTGGGATAGATTCATTCAGCCTTCCAACAACACCTCTCACGTCTGGATATAACATGTGGTCTAATATCCAGAAAAGTGCCGAGAAGGTTGATCGGATGAGAAAGCTGTTTCTGATCCTCAGTCGATCAAAGCCCTTGCAGGAATATCACTATGTATACAGCTTCATGATCTGCATTTTTTGGACAAACAACTTCAACACAAAAAAACCGGACTAGATCAACCCAACATTTTCTGGATTATCCTGGGGAGGGTCTGATCAGGGGTCACTCATGATTTTTTTGGGGAGTGGGGGTGGGGGAGTAATTGTTGCTCCACTGTTCAGATCACCAGATTGGAGGGTCAGCCCTTGGATTGAAGTAACTCAGAGCAAGGAGCTAACAAATGGATAGATATCTGAATTCTATCAGGCAACCAACATATACCAAAAGCATCCTAGTCTAGCTGAGACATTATCAAAATTCTTCACTTTGGGGCCAATGATCATCTGTTGGCAATCATCTCTTTTGATGATATTAAAATTTGAGGAAGATACATTCTCATCATAAATTGAACTTTCAAGCCCTACCATACAGACCCCTTATTTGTAAATAGATCATGCCCTCTAAACAAAGAAAGCATGCAGAGAATTTTTTTACCAAGCCTGTACCACTTTTTCTCATAATAACTCATCTTTTTGATATTGCAAAGACTGGGGGTTTTCTGTCTTCATATTCACTCTTAATTGACATCTTCTTCCTCAATCTTCACTCTGATCCCAAACTTCCTTTTTTATGATTCTCTTCATCTTTCTGGTCAGAAGCATCCCAGACAGCTACTTCCTTTCTCCCATCACAGCTGTCTGTGGCAACAGTGGGCAGTTACTTTTCCAGTTACTCCTTTGTTTCTATGTGTACCTCAAACCCTAGAAGATTAATAAGGTGATTTATCAAGATTGGTCTCAGTACAACTTACTTTCAGCAAAATGCTAGTCAATACTTGTTGAGTTGTAGTCACAGAAATGTTTACTGCTGACAGGTCCTTTGTCTACTTCCTAACATATTCCACAATGATCATAAGGGCACCAAATTTTCTCAACTTTGAGGATGCTCCCATCCTATGGTTATATCAGTTAATCACCTTCAGTAGAATTTGGAATGCAATTCCAAGACAAACATGACACTTTTTTTTTCAATTTATGGCTCAAAGCAGCTCTCAATCATTGTAGTTTTTCTTTTCCAAAAAAAAAAAGAAATGTGAAATCTGAACACACAGTATAAACCTTTATTAGCATTGCATGTCAGGGATTGTGGGGGTAACTTCATTGGATGGGGCACCTGCAACCAAAACAAAATCTTTGTTTTTTCCTTAGTGTGGAAGCTTATCAAATATTTAGTACCACAATCCAAGCCTTAATTCATTGCATTAAATACTGATAATACATTACACATTCACATGGGACCATCATAAAAGTGGATAGAACTTGGTATCCTTTTTGGGAATTGAGTAGATACTAGAAATTTTATTATATTTTGCGGCTTTGGAATTTTTCAAATACATAGCTGTCAGCCTCTGTGTAAATAGCCTGAGGTATTTAATGGAAAAGGTTGTTACTGTGAGCCTTGACTGAAGTTTTGAGTGTGGTAAGTAGAAGTAGTGGGTGGTTAATACCTGTACTGTTGAGGATACTTCACTCTATCAGGTTGGTCTTTACTGAGAGGCTTGCTATCAATAGCACATCCAATTCAATACAAGGCATTGATAGGCATCCAGGATACAAAGAATCACCTGAGATTATTTATTCACCAAAGGGAATGGTGTCAGCCACAGAGCACCTTTCACAGTACGTGAAATGTACCTAGTAACTGCAATAATAATAAATAATTGAATACTGGAAAATATTACACATTGTTGTTAAATTAATCAATAAATAAATATGTATTTACATTTAATCTTAATTCATAATTTATATTTAATAATTCTGTAATTAACTGTGAAATCCCCTAGAGTAGTGTACATATAATATCATTAGGATTTCACAGAAATATCATTAGAATAAAGTATTAAAACAATGTTTATTCTTATACATTATGTGCATATTTTATAAGCCATAAATAATTACATATGTATAAAGAATCAGCTAGTAGAAGCGTGAAATGGATGAGGAATGAGCTATATACATTTATCTGAAGCTTACCCATCCTTGATCACATCATCAGGGCATCAGATTGCATCATAGCCCTCTTGGATGGCGTCATCAGGACCCTTTTGTGCTCTAATTCAAAGCTTGCATAATTCAAAGTAGCCTACACGGGAAAGGAGCCCAAATTCTACATGCAAGACTGAATTATGCATGAAGGACATGCATTTCTCATGATCACAAACTTGCATAAGCAGAGTTACACGTATGCAACCAACTCTACAATTGCACAGCCCCTGCCCAGTAACTGTAGCCTTTTCAATTACGTAAGAAATAGGCCACAAAACTCAATTATGCATGTATGATCTCATGTCCTAGGACCTTCCACCCATGCATAGCACTGCACAACTGCAGCTCCCATCCTTACACGAAATTGTAGAGCTGCTAAGAAGCTCCCTAGTGCCCTGAGGACCTCTCCTCTTCCCCTGAGCCCCCTGTAGAATATTTAAGGAGCTCAGATTCCTACCTTTTCCCCCCAGGAAATTCTAGTAGCATCAAACCAACACTTGTACCGTGATTATTAGTGCTTCAAACCACCAATAACATTACAACTCAGCTACCTTAGACCTAAATAGATTTACTTTGCTCAGATTCAAGGCATTTCTACTTATCTCTATTGCATAAAGAATTATCCCCCTGGTTAAACAATTCTGGTCCTTAAGTGTACATACACTTATTCATCTGGATTGTTGTTAAAAGACTTGATCCCAAGTGAGTAGAAGAATTCCTCACATTGGAAGCCTATTAATCCACGTAACAGGATTGATCTGGATGCCCAATTGAATAATTGGATGAGTCAGCAGTAGAAGTACCATTCCTCACTGACTCCTCCCTGTTTCTTTTACAGGTTGAGGGATTTAACCACGAATAAACCTTCTCACTTATCATTCTTTTTAACACTCAGAGCACAACCCTTACAGGTTAGTAGCATAGAGGCTGACAAATGGTTTGTCTATCAGTAAGAGATAAGATTTAAAAAAATTGTTGAATTTTAATCAAGCAAGGCCCTTGAGTATTGTGGATGAGTAGAGTTGCCGACTTTAAAAAAGAAAAACAAGGCACAGCTTGATTTATGTTGAGTTACATGTAAGATATCAATATAAATTTTAACTGTGTTTAACTGGTGTCTGAATACTCTGGGAATAACTCATTCTTCTGAATCATTGTCATCATTATCACAAAAAAAATAACCCACAAAAAGAAAAACTTGTTCCCTCTTTGTTTCCAAATACCTTCTTTCTTCCTTCTACTCTTTTTTTTTGTTTGCACATTCATTTTTTTCTATTCCAATCCCTTCATTACCAATCTCTTCCTCCTGTTTTAGATGTTCAAATCCCACATATACATTGATGGACTGTATCAATTGGACCACCACAGGTTCCAGGTATTTTTGTCTGCAAAAGCTGTATGAATATGTGTATGTTTGCAGACCAATGATCAAGCACTTGTATTCTTTTCTCTCATCTTTAAAATACATCAGCTTCATGCATGTAATCTATTTCTTATTTCTCCTCAAGTTGGTTGATGTTGATGAAAATTCACAGGTGAACAGGACACTTATGATACATTATCAGGGCGGGTGCAAGGTGGGTAACTCCTGCTTGTTTTTTTTCACCTCAAATGTCAAGACCCTCACCCAGCACCTGTTTCTGGGTACCTACTTTGGAAAACAGGTACCTGGTGATATCTCTAGCAGAATTCTGCTACACTACGCTGATCTAACACTACTGTTAACATAGTGGGCCCATTGTTGTCTTTGGATGAGGGGATGAGCACATCAATTGATTGACTGATCATTAAGTGACATCATGATCTGTTAATAGTTTATCAATATACTAGTAGCTCCTCTTGATGTGTACACCCTAACTGATCCTCTAATAATAAATTCATTATTGCAATCAGTACATGTATTGAATGTATTAATTCTACTGAAAATTGATAAATAAAATACAATACTGGTACATATCTATTTGTTAGTATATTTGCCTGTGAAAATACTATAGAACTGGTAGAACTTGAAAGAATTTGAAGACTGAAGGTTTCATTTCTTTATAAGCAATATAACTTTACAAAGAAAATACAATTTTTATAAAATAAAGATAAAGAAATGGTTGAGTTATTACCTGAAGGCAGAATAAAACTCTGCAAAGATAATAACACTTGTAAAAGAATAAGAGATAATAGTTTGTCAAGTAAGAGCAGCGATGGGTAGTTACGCTACCCGTAACGGTAGCGTAACAGTAGCGTAACACCATTGGAATCGATATCGCTACCGTTAACGGTAACGATTGTTCGCTACGCTACTGCAGCAAAGAAGTTAGGGTTTTTTTAGGTCGTTACGATAACAATGGGGGCAGGGAGATAATTTTATTTTCATTTACGCTACTAGGTAAATGGGGTTGTGGTCGCTACTGTTAACGACAAAAAACATATAGAGTAGACACATTAAGCAAGCAACCACTCTTATGTGGATTGCATCGGAAACAATGCTCCCAACGCCTTGCCAGCATCGGAGAAGGCGCCTGTGAGAGGTGTTCCCTCCCGGAGCCACATGAGGCTGCTGATGCAGTGTGTCATGGTAGACGGAAGCAAGCGACCACGGTTGCTGCTGCATACGTCTGACGCCGCCGAGAAAAGCCTCTCAACTGCGCATGAGCTTCCGGTGGATCCCAAGTATGCCCGAGCCATGACAGCAAGGGTCAGATAGGTCTTCTGGTTGGCCTATGAAGTAAGCGACAATATAAGTTAAACAAAACGATTCCTTGCCAAAAAAAAAAACGAACCTTCCACCATCGCAACGGGGTATCTTTGTCGTCGATATCCCTATCCTTGAACGAGATGTCAGCTTTAAGGTAAGCTTCAATTTCGTCTTCTTGTGCGGTTGGTTGCTGTGTCATGCGTGAGGCTAGTCGGGCCATGAGGGATTGTGCTGGTGCAGTTGAAGGTCTTGGGATCAGCATCACATTGGGATCAGTTGGCGGAACGTTGGTAGAAATCGGTTTCAGGGTGTCTTTGGTGTGTAAAAATTCCCGTTTGAGTAACTCCAAGGCCTGGGTGACATCTGCACTGTCTGCTCCAAAGGCGAGCTCGAAAATGTCCATCTGAAAACATGGATGTAAGATAGTAGCAAGGACAAGAGTGCTACATAGTGTTGCTTCCATGAGATACTTGTCGACTCGGGTGATCATTGCTTGGTACATGGGGTAAAGGGTGTCGGATTCCAAGGATAAGTTGATCTTCTCCCTGAGATTTTCTTTGAGCTCAAGATATTTTGGAATGACATGAGCACCAGTGGGCTGGTTGCCTTCCATCTGTGCTGTTAGCTGAACAAACACCTTATGATAATTAAAGCACAGTGATTGAAGGTTAGTCTAAGTTTTCTTTCTCATTGTTTGAAGTAATAAATCGAAAAAAATCACCTCAAGCTCGCAATTGAGATTGTCTATCTCTTTCCAGTCCCTTGGAGAAAACATCACATTGGCAAAGGTACCAGCCCCATTCTGTTCTTGATCGTTTTTCAATATCCGGTCAATAACCTCCCGCGCATTGACAGCTTTTTGATAACTCTCGAATTTGATATTCCAGCGAATTCCATACCCCACAATCAAGGGGGCAACCTTCACTTTCAGATCTTGGGCAGTCTGATCAAAATTGGCTCGCTGAGCAGCCGATCGTGTGATTTTCTTGATGACTACATCAAGCTATCAAGAACGCTTCAGTATTGAGACAGTGTTTGGGTGATTAGAGGTTGAAAACGGTCCAACAAACCTTCATGGTAAGCTCTTTACACTACAAACAATACCGATTTTGCCCCAGGAAAAAATGGCAATTTGGTTGGTGGAAAATAGATCACTTTCCTGAGCATTTTCTTACACAATGGCTCAGGAGTAAAAATTAAGCTAAACTGAGCTATTTTAGCCAAAAAGTAAAGTTTCCTCAAATGAGCTAAAAATTAATTTTGGAAAGTTTGAGGCATTTTTATTTTTGGGCTAAAATAGCTCATTTTAGCCTGATTTTTACTCCTGAGGCATTTTGTAAAAAAAGCCTCAGGAAATTGAACAATTTTCCACCACTCAAATTGCCATTTTTTCCTGGGGCGAAACTGGTATTGTTTGTAGTGTTAAGCCGCAAGGTCTTGGTATGTTTTTGTTGAGACGTGGGATTAATGACTGCTGGCACTGTTGTCTTCTTCTGAGTGTCATCTTCAGATGAAGACTCTTCTTCAATTTCTGAGTTTTCGTCCGAACCATTATAGTCATCGTCCGCTGAACGTCCATCATCATCGATCTCCAGATTTGAACCAGGGATTTGTTGTTCCATATTGACTGTCGATCTATTGTTGCCTTGAACGGGAAACTCTTCTGGTTTGTCTTCCTTGGTCACCCGATGGAGTACGGGGAAGAATCCCAATACTGATTCCTTCGTCTTTCCAGGTGGAAGGGTCTTGAGTGACAAAGCTTCCAGGCCCGCGTTAACGATCAAGGCGAGTTTGTGACAAAAACAACAAATGTGCATTGTTAACGGGTCCCAAGTATCTGAACGTCCTTTTCCATCATTGTTGTCATTGAGGATCTCGTACATTGTGCTTGCCATGGTGTTATTGTTTGAACCAGAATCTGTAGTCTGTGCAAGCATGTATAGAAAATAATAAACAGACAATTAGTTGACTAAAATTGAGAAGTCAAAGTGAAATTACTCATCTTTTGGTACAGATTACCTTTCTTGAGAAGACTTGCAATTGGCCGCGCTAAGAGATGACCATGGTGTTTCCAAGGTATAAGTTTTATTGTCAAATGTTGAACTATGTAGTCCCACTCGGAAGTAATATAGGCAACAGCAGCTCCGATGAAGGCGAATCGGTTACCCTTTGTTGTCCACACGTTGTGAACCAGGGTAAATTTAGTATCGAGTTTCTAATTTGAAACCAGGAAACATGTTAGTTAAAACATTGGAATTGTATTGGAGAAAGTAAAAAAAATAATCTGAATCACCTTCAAATTGTCAAAGACACAAGTCTTGAGCATCCTATATAACTTCTTCGATTCATCTGCTGACCACCGACGACCGTAAAGACGAGCTTTGTGATTTGCGTACTGAATGGCCGCCCGAAGATAAGGGTCTTCCAGCCTCGACCAGGGAAGAGCCTGTCGAATTTGCCAGATCATCATTATCTGGTTTAGAACCTTATTGTCAAAGGCCACCTTGACTGATAAGAAGTCGGTTATGCCTGGCTGCTTCGAGTCTTTTGATTTCTCTTTCATCACCATTGCTTCCGCAACCGATGGTGGCAACTTGATCCCAGCTAACTTGGCTTGATCACGATTGACACAACCTTTATTATTCTTATCCATCTGAGTATAGCCGTCCCGATGTGCTTTGAGATTACCAAGCGATGAGGGATGTGCTCGATAGGTGCCTGGGCACCATTTGCATTTGTAGTTCAATGCAGTATCCTCCCGGTCACCTTTCTTCCACACCGGTTCTTCAAAGTAGTCAAGAACTTTAGCATACATTGCTTCCTTAATTTTCTTAGCCGTTTGTGGTTGAATCTCGACTGATTGTTCATCAGATTCCTGGTCGTAATCAAAGGCAGCACCGTCAGGGTTTTCAGCTCGCTGTGAATTGAAAACAATTGTAGGATAAATATACTTGTTGAAACCAATCCTTTAGTTACAACTAAGTAAGTACACACCGTTGTCTTCTTGGCAACCTTTTTGACTGCCTTTGAACCTTTGGGATTTTCTTTTTGATTAGGAATTAAGGAGGTCGTTCCGTTCTTACCCTTTTCGGAGAAAATTTGAGTTCTACTTTTCTTATTTTTTCTCTTCTTTTGTCCTTGGGAAGTTGAAGCATTGGATACCAATGCTGACAAAGATAGATTCCCTGGTCCCCTCTTTTTTGATTCAGGTTGGGTCATTCTAACACGGGAGTTGGACGAGGGGGTCACCATGTTAGGTGTAAGGACCACTGACGAGGCACGAGTAGACTGGCGCGGTTGAGTCTGAGATTGGTCAGTAGAATGACCATTGGTGTCTTGAATTATTTCTGATTGAGTTTGAGTGGATTCTGGAGCCATGGCCAACTCAAGGATTAATGGAAATATTAAGCTCCAGATGTATTGGGAACAAGAGCCCGGTTGTGGGATCAAAAAATGGGAGGCAGCACAGGTCACCAGGCAGGTTAGACATGTGGTTCAGGGGTTAGTGGCACAAGGGAAATCTAAGCCCCTGTATCAAGGGAAAAAACAGCCAGTACAGCGGTCTATGGGGCTGCTTGATCCCTCAGTACATTGTGGATATTGCGTTACTGGCACGCTACTGACCGTTACATAAGTTACAATACTATTTATTTAGGATAAAAAAAACCTGAAAGTTACGATGCAGAGATTGAGTGAATCACTCCGTTACAGGTAACGTTATCTGGGCTGGGGAGTAACTACAAAAGGTACGCTACTCAGATAACGCTGTTATTGTAGCGTATCGTAGCTACCCATCGCTGGTAAGAGCGGTAATAAGCTAATGATCAAAAAGACAAACTTGATTAGTTCTTATTCTGTTTTACATTTCTTTATTTAATATTGAACTTTTTAATAATAATTACTTTTCTATGATTAGATGAATCAATCTGGTAAAGATAATTCCAACATGGTAATAAGCTTTTGTTTAATATTTCTAAACGTTATACAAAAGCCGAAAACATCAATTAATGCTTTATCGCTTTGTCTTCTCTTTCCTTAATTATAAGGAAAGGCTTTTTGCTCACCGGTCTTAGATGGAGAAATGTGGTTGATGAGTTGCGTACAACTTGAGGAGAATTGATAAAAGCTAAAGATAATTATTTGTTGGAAAGAAAGATGAAATCGTCAACAATCATCTCTTTCAATTCCTCCAATCACAATCATCAATACTCACTTAGAGTTTGATGATCAATGATCATCATCTTCTAAGGCTATGACATCATTGATGCAAACTCCTGAATTACAAGCTTTAAGCTTGGCATTTGCATGCTAATCTGCAGAACAGCTTGTCTCTGTACATGATCAAACAATAATGATCAGTACAATGATTTACTCTGGGAAGTTTATACTTTAAAGTATAACTTACCCAAGGCACTCCTCTTTTGAGGGCTAGACTTAGGAATTGAATTCCAACAGAACTTGTGGTACAGGTATTTCACAGATCAAGGAGTGAAAGATACATGATTATTACTTATGTATGAAAAAGATATGTATTTAAATGATAATTAATAAAAAAGGATCATGTAATGCTTTGAGTTTATATGTAATCAAGATGAATAAGATAAATATGAATAGGATAAATTATAATGAGATAACTTAAGAATAAGATAAGACATGAATAAGATAACAATACTAGAGGTAAAGGTAAACAGAATTATGGATTTTCACATATGTAAATATGTACAGGTGTTTGCAGGTAATGTGACATGTACTCTGTGGCTGACAATAACTGAGAAAATGTCTATATTCCTAGTGCTGGTTACAAATTGAAGCAATGCATATCAACCCTGGAAAATGAATTTTATAAATACTCTCAAGCTTGATTGCAAAAGTTGAAAGAAAAAAATGGTTCCCCTGCGTTTTTGACGATGATTCATATTTTTGACTTTGATTCAATCATAATCTGATGATCAGATTTGTTCAACAGGTGGTCTAAGATTTAAGTGTTGAGAGCAGTTGTCATACTCGTGGTCACCATCCCTACAAGGATCATTTGGGAAGAAGTGTCCCAACTTGCAGTGTTGTGGACATTTGTAAATCTGCCCCTCTACATTCCGTGTGCATTTCCAAGATGGTCCAAGTGTTCCACAGCTTCTGCATGACAGTTTAACATTACATATTTCCCAATGTTCAGTCAAAGTTTTTGCTGGACAATGGCATTCATGAAATGAACTACTTGAAGGTTGGAGATAGATAGCCAGCAAGGTGAGGACTTTGACAAGATTCTTCTTGTGGCCAGGGGCATGCATTGTGTGATGATAATGTGTGTGGATGGTCACACTGTGAATTGAACCAAGAGATGTGGAGTTCTTTGTTGGGTTCAAGGATAACTGAGCTTCTCTTGTACCGTTTGGAGAGATTTCCAGTGAAAGCTGTTGTTTTTGTGACAATCTTAAAACCTTCTTTTTTTCAGTGGCCTTCAGTCAAACAAAGAGTGCAATTTTTTTTCAAGCTTTGCTTTCACAACTTCAAGGAATTTAAATTGAAGAAGTTTACCACATTTTCAAAAATGATGCACTGGGCCAGGTACACCATAACCAGTCCCAAGCAAAACATTTTAACTGAAAATGGTGGGCCACTATGCTAGCACAGCTTGCAGCTAATATCTGCCAGTCACTCAGCCAGTGTATCAGAAAATTTGAAAAAAAATGGCTTCTTCTTATTTGCTATGATAGGCCATGAAAACTTTATGTTAGTGGATATTGTAGCTTGCCATTACAGCTCTGGGTGCTGCACCCAGGACCACTGTTAGTGTGGTGGCCCACCTTGACAAAAAATCTCAATACTCATCCAACTACCCTCTTTCTTCTGCTCAGACTGATTCAAATCATCAACATTACAATACTCAACTTTCCCTTCCGCCTCCATATCATATCTTCCTCAATTTTCTATCTCCTTTCTCTTTTCTCTCTCATCAATTAATCCCATTGACGTTTTTGACATCTCACATTCCACTCAGAACAAATAAATCTTCTCCTGATCTGTCCTTCTCTCTGTCTCTCGCAACAGCCCTTCCTGGCTCTTGCCAATTTGGTAAAAAAACATCATCAACATCAATATTTTCTCCCGTTTTTTATCTCTGTCATCAACTCATATTGATTTCTTATATATATATATATTATTCTTTATCTTTTTATTTCTGATGTTCTTAAAATTGCATGTATTACTTGTCACTATCTGATCTCATTTATCTCAGTCAGTTTGCCCTGCTTCCAGCTCAATTGAACTCTTATTTTGGTACAATAATTATTCTCATGTCTTCTATTTTATATTATTATTTTATCTTGTTTTATAACTTGTTTTGTTTCTTGTGTTGAGTTTTGGTTCTAGTGTCACTGTTAGAGATCGTTCGTCCGTACTTTTTGCAGGTACCTGGTACCTCCTGGGGGGTACCCCTCGCACCCGCCCCGTACCTGCCAGGAGGTGCCAGGTGCGGTACTTGGTACCTATTTTTGTGAAAAATTGAACAGGTACCTAGGTACCTCTACAGGTACCCCCTCACTTCCCTACCGAAAATCAAAATGATGGTGGGTACCTTGGCTGCATGGAAACAGGGAATCAAGGATAACAAGAAGTCTAACAAAAAATCAAAAAGGAAGGTGATGGTTTTGGATGAAACTGAAGATTCTTCCAATTAGTTATAAGTTGTAGATAGTTTAAACTTTGCAATAAATTATTAAATATGAACAAATGAAAAAGTGACTTGGGACTGATGTTTTACAATAAATATGAAAAAAATAGAAAAGTAAGATTCTTCCAATTAGATGTAGATATATTACAACATATATTAAAAAATGCCAAAAAAGTGACTTGTGAGTGATATTTTACAATAAATATGAAAATAATAATAATAATAAGTGACTTGGGACTCTGGGAGTGAAACTAGGTGAAAAAGAGGGGGGGGGGGTACCTGAGGTACCTGCAACAGGTACCTTGGGTACCCCCCGGGAGGTGTCTGGTGCGGTACATGGTATCTATTTTCTTGAAAAAATGAACAGGTACCTAGGTATAAACAGGTACCTAGGTCCGAACGAATGATCTCTAGTCACTGTCAACCATCATATCTGTTTTTCATCACCTCTCCTCCCCCATAAAAATTGAGCTGAGGTATTTGAGCACTAGCTGAAGACATTTAAACTTCCAGCATCGGTCTTGTAGGTCACTTGGTGTTTATGGGGAAAAAGGTCTTACTATAGGTGTCACAGTAGAGATCGTTTGTTCGTACTCGGGTACCTGTTGGTACCTAGGTACCTGTTGAATTTTTTCAAAAAATAGGTACCAAGTACCGCACCAGGCACCTCCCGGCGGGTACCGGCGGTACTTTTGGCGGGTACCGCGGGTACCTCCCCTCTCTTTCTAACCTAGGTTCACTTTCAGATTACCAAGTCACTTTTTCATTATTATTTTTTTCATATTTATTGTAAAATATCAGTCCCAAGTCACTTTTTTTCCATTCTTTCATATTTATTGTGAAATGTTGACAGAAAATTGGAAGAATCCTACTGTGTTATTATATTTTCATATTTATTGAAAATATCATTCCCAAGTCACTGTTTTTCCTTTTGTCATATTTGTTGTAAGACATCTTAAACTAATTGGAAGAACCTTACTTCATTATTATTATTATTTTCATATTTATTGTAAAATATTACTCAAGTCACTTTTTTGGCATTTTTTTCATATTTGTTGTCAAGTATCTACATCTAATGGGAAGAATCTTGCCTTTTTTCATATTTATTGTAAAACATCAATCCCAAGTCAATTTTTTCATTTGTTCACATTTAATAATTTATTTTAAAGCTTAAACTGTCTACAAATTAGATCTAATTAGTGATGAACTAGACAGAGGCTGAGGACAGCAAGCACGATGTGGGTGAGTGACTGATGTTTGTGGAAGGATGAGTTCATTTCACATGAGAAGAAAAGGAAAGAAAGAAAAAGGAAGAAAGAAAGAAAAGAAAGAGAAACAGAGGCTACTATACCTGAGGACAGCAAGCACGATGTGGGTGAGTGACTGATGTTCGTGGAAGGATGAGGAAAGAAGAGCTTCCACGAGTGCTGCCTCAGGTATACTACAACTGTGTGACATGAGTGTGAAATACAGTTGACATGTATAAAGCAGAGAAAAAGAAATGAGATGAGAAGGAAACTGATCAGCTCAACACCCCCCCTTGCTGCATACATGGATTTAGAGAAAGAGAAGAAATAAAATAACAGAACACAGAGATAGAGAAAGAAAGGGAGAAAAGGGAAAGGAGAAAAAGAAAGAAGAAAAAAAGAGGAGGAGAAGAGAAAAGATAAGAGAAGAAGAGGAGAAAAAAAGTCAGGGAACAATGCCAAATAAAGTGTGGTGTCTTTCCAGTGCAACTCGGGGAAGAGGTTTGGTCAACATATCAGCCAGCATGTCCTTCGTTGACACATGAATCAGGGAGATGTCGTCTTCTTGTACACATTCTCGGATGAAGTGATAGCGGGCGTGGATATGTTTAGTCCTGGCGTGGTGTTCTGGGTTTTTTGCTAATGCCTCCGCCCCTTCATTATCAACATGCAATGGGATGGCATTGTCTGGTCGGAGACGAAGTTCTGTGAGGATGTGTTGAAGCCAGAGACCTTCTTTGCAGGAGTCGGAGAGAGCTTTGTATTCTGCTTCGGTACTAGAGAGTGACACCGTGGCTTGTTTTCTGGATTTCCAAGAGATGGCTCCATCACCAATACGATAGGTGTAGGCGGATGTTGATCTCCTGTCGTCTCGGTTTTCCGCCCAATCAGAGTCCGAATAGCCAGATAGTACCAGATTGCCTCCAAGGCGAAGCTTGAGATCCTTAGTTGTTATCAAGTAGTTGAGAATCCGAAGACCAGCCTGCCAGTGAGACTCAGACGGGTCCCGAAGAAATTGGGATAGGCGGTTGACTGCAAATGAAATGTCAGGTCGAGTGCATTGGGATACCCAGAGAAGAGATCCAATGAGTTGGGGGTACGGGCCGGATGATACAGGGTCGGACTGAGAGCGCGGACCAAGGTTCTTGAAAATGGAATCAGTTGGAGTTGCCACTGGCGTGGGATTGTTGTTGAGAAATCTTGAAGAAAGTTCAGAGATGTAATGAGCTTGATTCAGGAAAACGTGATGATCTTCAGCGTTCCTGGTGATCTTCAGCGAGAGAAAGTGATTGAGCTCCTCGTCTGCACCGATTTTGAACCGCTTACCGACTTCAGAGATGAGGGAGTTGACAAAATTGTGTTCACCCACAATTGCAAGATCGTCGACATGTGTTGTGAGGGCACCAATCAGCTTGTTGTTGTGGAGCTTGAAGTATAGAGTGGGGTCGTATTTTGAGTTGGAGAGGCCTAGTTCGAGGAGAGCTTTGTGTAGTTCAATGTTCCATTGACGGGGTGATTGTTTGAGACCATACAGAGACCGATTAACTTCACAGACCCAATCCGGATGTTGGGGATCTTCGAAGCCAGGGGGCTGTTCCATGTAGATTGGCTTGTCCAAGTGGCCGTTCAGAAACGCTGTTTTGAAATCGACTTGACGGCCTGTCCAACTGCGGCAGGCAAGAAGACTGAGTATCAGGCGAAGCGTTTCCAGTCGGAGTGTCGGAAAAAATACTTCATTGTAGTCAAGACCATGTACTTGGGAGTAGCCCATAGCTACAAGTCGTGCCTTTAGCTTCTGAATAGTCCGGTCGGGACGGCGCTTCACCTTGAATACCCATTTAGACTTTATAACCTTCCTCTTTTCCGGACGTGGGACAAGCTTCCAAGTTTGCATTCCAAGAAGAGAGGCAAATTCTTCATCTGCCGCCTTAAGCCAACGATGTTTGTTAGGGGATTTAAGAAGCTGACGCCAAGTTTTTGGGGTGTCTACATCAGAGTCGGTGGAAGCGTTCTTGGACCATTGGCCATAGCGGTCGGGGGCACGCCTATCACGATTTGAGCGTCGTCTGACAGGAGGTGGGGAAGGTGTTGGTGATGGGACTCTGGCCGGGGGGGACCGCGGTGGAGATGGCGGGGGAGATGGACTAGGAGATACTGGAGGGGGAGAGGGAGAGGGAGGGAGAGGAGGGAGAGAAATTACGGTAACATCAGGTGACGTGGTTGATGGAGACGGAGCAGGTGTGTTGTACGTCAAGTCAGAACCTGAGTCAGAAGAGATGGGGATAGGACCGTGGGAAGAGTCAGAATCTGAGTCGGAGGAGATGGGGAGAGGATCTCGAGGACGATTATGAGGGGCATGGATGGATGCTGCTAGTCTCCTGTCAAAACGGGGTGCGAGAGGAATATCTAGAGGTGCATCATTGTTAATAGTTGGAGTAGTCGAAGGGACATCTACACTTCGAGGATGGTGAGGGTCTGCAGGAGTGTCATTTGATGGTTTGGGCCAGGTTATTTCAATTGGGATTGGTTCGGGGGTTTGCTTGAGCTGAGTACTGTAGGGGAATGTTGTGTCTTCAAAGAGTACATCGCGGGACTTGACAACAGAACGTTTTTCAAGATCCCAAAGACGAAAGCCGTTTCCATCTGGTAAGTAGGAGAGAAGCAGAGATGCACGTCCTTTGATGTCGAGAGATTTTCTGTTGGGTTCAGGGATTTTGTACCAGACCAGGCATCCAAAGGGATGAATTAACTTGAGATCAACTGAGTGTTCTTGCAGTATTGATGAGGGGGATTTGAAACCCAATGGAGTGTAACAGGGGAACGAGTTGAAGGGAAACATTGAGTGTCGGAGTGCGTCTGTCCAGAAGGATTTGGGCAGGTTAGCCTGCATTAGCGAAGCCCTGACCAGATTATTGATTGTCCTGTTTGTCCTCTCAGCGACACCATTTAGCTGTGGCGAATGGGGCGGACCCGGCTCGTGTCTGATCCCAGATGAAGCAAGGTAGGCGGAAAACTCATTTGATAGATATTCTCCTCCGTTGTCGGTACGAAGAGCAATAATTTTGTGGGAGCCACTTTTCTCAAAGAATGCGCGAAAGATTTTGAAACATGCGAAGGAGTCGCTTTTTAATTTCATAGGAAAGACATGAAGAAATTTGGAACAATCGTCGACAAAAGTGATGAAATACTTATAGCCCTCCCTAGAAACAACCTCGTATGATGCCACGTCGGAGTGAATGAGTTGACCAGGCTTTGAGGATCAATGGGTGGCGCGGGATTTGAAAGCCTTACGGGGCATTTTAGCTTGGACGCACGTCGGGCACCGTTGGACTTCGATTTCATTCATCACTGAGGGTACAATGTTGTTAGACTTCAGCAGTGACTTGAGGGGCTTGAGACCAATGTGGGAAAATCTTTGGTGATAACCGAGGAGGGAGTGATCAGGGGGAGAGGGGGAGAGGGAAAGAGAAGAACAGGACCTCACAGGGTCTGACGGGAGATAGTAGAGATTTCCTCGTCTGTAGCCGCGTCCAGCTACGTCGCCTTCTATCTTGACCTCGCTTGATTTGATGATGTCGCAAGACGTCTTGGTGAAAACAACTGTGAGTCCAGCATCGCAGAGAGCCGCCACTGATAGGAGAGGTTTGTGGAGAGAGGGAACCACAAGTGTTTTTACCTTGGTTTCTCCATCGATGGGGAGCCTAGAGACGCCTTTGTGGGTGGCCTCCACTACCAAATGGTCGGCCAGGCGAACAGGTGTGGAGTTGGTTTTTGGATTTTCAACCAAGAGAATATCGGGAGTCATTGACATAGAGCAGCCGGAATCGAGATTCGCATCACCAGTGCCGGAGTAGAAGTTGGAGACAGACAGGGACGCAACTGCATTTCCAGCAGTGACCTCGACCTCGGAGCCGGAGTAGTCTGATTCAACATCATCATCGTATGTATGAGAATGTCCACCTAGGGTGACGGCAGAGGTGTGGCCTGCTCGAGCTGCTGGTTTGCCTGATTGAGTTTGTCGCCTATCCTGATCTTTAGAGTCGGTCCGACTTTTCTGGTTGGCTTTATGCGGGCGATGATAATCACACTCCCCTCCCCTCCCCGCCCGCCCACACCCACGCCCCTCCAAAAGGGGCGTGCAATCACACCCGCCCGTCTCTGAGGGGCGGGTTTGATTGCACGCCTCTCGGAATTTCTGATTTCCCAAGGAAACAGGCTTCCGAGGGACTGACAGATGAACCCGCCCCTCAGAGACAGGCGGGAAGGACTTGCCCGCTAATCAAAGAACCAAGATATTCTTGGTTCTTGACTGGGGTGCAAGTCGTCCCGGGATTATGTCAGCAAAACATCCTAGGATGTTTTGCTGTCATGGTTGGCTTACCTTCAGTTTTCCTCTGGCCGATGGCCTGCACTCCTCGAGACCTAATTTTTTTTGTAATATCGGACCTTTTGTCTAAGAAACTTGTAGTTGATATAAAACTGCGTACTCCCTCAAACTCAGAATAGGACGTAGCATCTTTATAGCCCATTGGCTGGCAGTCGAAGGTGTTCAACCGGCAATACCACAAAACCCCACCCCAGCAGGTACTCTTCTCTCTTCTAAACCCTCTTCTGCATTCTATATACCTCTTGGTCACAATTATATTCATGAATATTCGGTCGAGCTTTGAGCTGAGCGACTCTCTTTCCGTCCGTGTCGCAGAGCTCAAATCACATCCTGCTTTCTCTGGTCTTCAGTCCTCGGCTATCCCATCGAGCTCAAAACAGGCACCAGAAACCAAAAATCTGACTACCAAAGAGCATTTATCGCGTGAACTTCGACTATATTTCGATCGCGTTACTGCTGCCGCGCTATCAAATGACCAGAGCTCAAGAAATGCGGCCCTAGCCAGCTTGAGTGGCGACCCTGGTCTCCATCAACTTGTACCATATCTGATTCAGTTTGCAGCAGAAAAAGTTGGTTGTTTCGCAGATTATATCGTTCTTTCTCATCAGTTTACAAAACGTAAGCAGGTACCTGAAAGTGACTGTAGCTAAATAAGCTCAACGATTTCCTCCTCCCGCCCGTCTCTGAGGGGCGGGTTCTTCTGCCCGCCCCTCGGAAGCCTGTTTCCTTGGGAAATCAGAACTCCGAGGGGCGTGCGATCAAACCCGCCCCTCAGAGACGGGCGGGTGTGATTGCACACCCCTTTTGGAGGGGCGTGGGCGTGGGCGGGCGGGGAGGGGAGGGGAGTGCGATTATCATCGCCCGCTTTATGCTCGTCAAGGATTCGGCGAGTATTGTTGCAGTTATTTAGATTGTGGCCATCTGCATTACAAAAGTCGCAGTGGCGCTTCTTGTTGCGATCACCGGGTCGCTTACCGTTGTTAGGCTTAGTCTTGGTCTAGGAGACTGATACTGAAACTTCATTTTGGGAGTGACGGCGGGTATGCTCGTTTTTAAGAGCCAGGACAGTTGATTCGGTGCTGACACCTTCTTGGTTCATAAGGTGGGAGACACAGCCCATCCAATCATCTGGGATGGAGCTGAGCAACGCGGCTGAATGAACATCAGCGACGGTGAGAGGTTTATCGGTCGTCACAAGGGAGTTAAGACGATCGTACGCCTTCGCCATGGTGTTAATGTGCGTAAGGACGTCGTCGCCGTCCATCTTCGTTAGAAGAAGTTTTCGGAGCCAGTAGACTCTGCCGCCTGTTGACGAGTCTTGATGCGCGCGGACGATGGCGTTCCACATGCCGTGCGCGTTACGCTTGTAGGGACGAATTGCAATTAGATTAGACGAGTCGATGGTTTGCGTTAGAATGGCGCAAACGGTCTTGTTATCGGCCGTCCAGGCAGGAGAGGGGCGTTCAGGAAGAGGGGACTCGATCACGTAGTCGATTCCAACCGAGTCAAAGTACGCCGTGATTACGAGCTCCCAATCGAGGAAGTTCGAGTCGGGTCCAGGGGACTGTAGGACCGGCTGACTTGAGCGAGACCGCCTATGGGGTGTCGAGTTCAGTTTTTATCACAGACCCATCAGCAGCCGGTTTCTTTGAGGAACCATCGTCCATCGACATTCTGCCTTGCGAGGCGAAACAAGAACCAAGACACAGCGAAAGAGAAAAAAAAAACGCGGCCGAGAGATAAAGAGATCGGCCAGCCGCGCACGCTTCAAGTGGAACCGAGAGTGCAGAAGTGTTCAGAAAGTTATACGACCTGATTTTACGGCAACCACAGCGGTGGAGAGAGCGGCGAGAGCGATGACTGAGATTGAGTTATCAAGTCGGATCGCAGAGAGAGAAAGACGGCTGATGCTGAGTTCTTGAGCCGAAGAAGTAACCGTCGAGGTAGTCGACAAAAAGTTGATGATCCTTGAGATATGTACAAAGATTTTCACCCAAATACGCCGTTATTTAACGTGCCGGAAACTGTCAAGAGCTGGAGCCTAGCGCGGGCTCATAACCTGATGAACTAGACAGAGGCTGAGGACAGCAAGCACGATGTGGGTGAGTGACTGATGTTCGTGGAAGGATGAGGAAAGAAGAGCTTCCACGAGTGCTGCCTCAGGTATACTACAACTGTGTGACATGAGTGTGAAATACAGTTGACATGTATAAAGCAGAGAAAAAGAAATGAGATGAGAAGGAAACTGATCAGCTCAACAATTAGATTATTAGAAGAATCTTCATCGTTGTCCAAAACTATCACCTTCCAAGGCCACCATCATTTTGGTAGGGAAGTGAGGGGGTACCTGTAGCGGTACCTAGGTACCTGTTCAATTTTTCACAAAAATAGGTACCAAGTACCACACCTGGCACCTCCCGACGGGTGCGGGGCGGGTGTGAAGGGTACCCCCCAAGCGGTACTAGGTACCTAGCAAAGGGTACCGCGGAACGATCTCTATGTCACAGCCAGTAGACAAGGAACCTTGCCTCAATGCTAGGAAGTGAAGGTGTCAAGCACCCTTGGGTAAGGGTGTGTATGTGGGATGAGCTTTGTGTTCCCATGCTAGAGCTCAGTTATAAGAGTGGCTCTCTTCTAGTCTACAATAGTGACTTTACTGTAGGGCAGGTGGGAAAAGGGTTTGTAGGAAAATATGGGAAGTGGAAAGGTGTTTTAATAGTAATTTATATCATGAATAAACCCAAATCACTGCTTAGTAAGGTGTATGGTTTTCTATGGCAATAATCTCTGGGGGGAAGGAGTCCTGGGAGAAAAGAAGGCAGGGATCAATCTGCCCGTGAGACTGGTCAGGCCTACAGATGGTCATTTATGTATGTAAATAATAAATGATCAAAATATGCATTTAAATTAAGATTACACCAAGAAGTGGAGGAACTGACATCATCTCTCTTGTGGTAAATCAATACAGAGAGAGATGATTAATTTAAACCTTGTTGGTAATCATCTCTCTCATTATAGAATATACTTAAGAGAGATATGAATAAGCTTTTAATACATATGAAAAATCTCTTTAATAAAGGAATATTGATGCAGAAGAAATTCTTAAGTTATTCTGTGGAATTACTTAGTATAGAAAAATAACTAAAATGAATAAAAAGTATTACAAAGAATGAGAGGGACTTGAAATCAGGTGTATTTGGTGAGATATTGTCTTAAGAAAGTTCTCAACCACTGCACAGCCCACAAACAGGTGAAAAAACTCAGATTTTTCATGGTGAGTTTTTTGTGGAAAAGTGCCCGCAGTGACTGCATTTACTCAATGGTGGGCCAGCTACGCTAACCGTAGTGCAGGAAAAATACGCTAATTTGTAGTGTAGCATTATCAAAAATCCATATTTCTGCACTAACGCTACGCGCAAAGGGCACAAGAGTGCATTAGCTGTTAGTGTAGCGTTAGAACAGAAAGTTGGAATTGTGCTAATGCTACACGCTCAGGGCACAAAAGATTGCCTGCTAAGCCGCACTACAGAACTTTTTAGCAGGGTTTTTTGCTGCTAAAAGCGCTGTAGTGGTGCACTAACATTACCCAGAAAAAAAACCACCTGTTAGCGGCGCTACAGCGTAGCACAATGTAGCAGCGGTAGCAGCACACTCACACTACGGAAAAAATGGCCCCTTTTAGTGCTGCTACGCTAACGCTAAGTGACCCTTTAGCGTAGTGTAGCGTAACACAGCGGAATTCCCGTTAGCGTTAAGCGTAGCGTAGCGGAATTCCGCCACAACACCTCTAACGCTACGCGTGTGGGCCACAAAAAAGGGCCCACTACGCTGCGCTACAGCGGTTTTTAGCTGTTTTTAGCCGCTTTTTCCGCTAAAAGCGCTGTAGCGCAGCGTAGCGTAGCGAAAATGTGCTACAAAAGCGCTAACACTACAAAATTTTGGCGCAAAAAAGCACCGAAACGCTACGCTTTTTGGGCCAAAAGCGTAGCGGCCCACCGCTGGGCCCACCATTGATCTACTGGCACAGTAACAAGTGGAAAAACATCACTGTGACATGTTGAAACATTGTGATCCACAATGTTCTAAATATCAACACAACAGGTATGGACTTGGTTGCCTAGTGGTAAAGGCAGCACTTCTAGTATAGTGTCTTAGCTTCAAGCTAAGGTCTCTGGTTCAAATCCTGCCCAAGTCAATCATTTTCATGCTAACAGTATGCCAAATGCATTGTTAATTTTAATGTTACAAAACTTTGATTTTGTCACCTGTTTGTGGGCTGTGCTACACCATGGTACTTGTAATTGCACTGGATGATTATAGACATATGGACTGTTGTCTCAGACTGTGTCTGACACAATGGAGAATTGCATGTAGGTCCCACGCAGAGTGACATCTGGGGGTTTCAATGGGGTTTCATGTGCAGTGACTGTGCCTACTGCCGCAGTCATGCGCTCAGATTCATCCGGATGTTGCTGCACGCCGCAACAACAGGCAAATGTCCGTGGTGTGACATAAACCAACAAAGAGGAGAGATCAGATGAGGAGATGAGGTTTGAACTGTCTCAAGTGGACACTTCTTGAGGGAACAAGTGGACAAACTCAATCTTGAGGTACAAGGAGACCCAACGGGGAGGTTGATTGCTGTTGGGTTTTTGAGTTCTTGACCGACAGAATTGAGGAAATGGAGAAGGAGGGCACAAAAAAGCAGGGGACCTTTTTTGGGAAAGTTTCACGGAAAAAGTGAGTGAAAGAACCAATGAGTTTTTTATTCACTGGTAACCAGTCTGGGTTTAAGTAGACTAGATACATGAGGGCAAACTGTGGTTGAGAAATAATGAATAAAAGGAGGTATATTGAATAAAGAACTGAGAGGAGGAAACATGAGTATTTGGAAGAAACAAACCAGACAAATCTTCTCAGTCTCTTTTAGATAAGCAGGATGAGTTAATCAAAGAAAACATGTTATAAACCACAGATAATTAGGGTTTTTAATTCTAATTAATCAGTCTTTGGCAAATCAATCATAAAATCAGGAAAAAGAAAAATTCATCTTAGAGACATGAGTAGTGAAAAAGAGCTGATTACTTAAGGTTCCAATTTGACCCGGAAGGAGGCTCAGAATGACTAAAAACAGGCTACTTGATGAATATGATCTAGTCTGATTTATGGTGACTAGAAAGGTAAAAATAAGGGCAGAGAGAGAAGGAAATGGGGAAATTTCAACAATTGCTGATACTAGCTGGCAGAGTATAAAGCTAGAATATCACTTATCTTGGCATCACATAGGCAGACGGATATAGAGAGGGCCCCGGTGCATCCGGATATCCGGCTGCTTTTTCCAGGGAAACTTCCATCCGCACCCACATTGGCATCTGCTGGCAGGTATCCCTCCACCTTAGCGGGTATTTTTGGATACCTGCCACTTGCACAAGGGCGGTTGGAGGGGGTGGCCAACAATAGACTGGAAGGTCTTCCTTCTGGTTGAGAAGGTTGTGCCCTGTCGGCCTCAAGACACTACAGTCTCCAGGCCGAGAGGAACTCCTCTTGGCCTTGAGACTGTACAAGGTCTCAAGTCTGGGTCCCTCTGACAGGTATCCCTGGAGATACCTGGATACCCACCAGGATTCTGAGGAGAATGGGGCAGCTGCTGTAGTGTGCCAAATGTGTTTCAAGTATAATCAAAGTACATAAATTCTTGAATCATTTTTGATCAGGAGATTTATTATTGGTTTTATTATTGCATATTTGAATTCTTAACCTATAGTCAATCACTGGAACCACTAGGCTAGCTCAACTCAGTCAGAAGTTATTTAGATGTTAAGGTTATGATAGAACATGATCACAAAGCATGGTGGTACATTGGTAGTGCATGGTATAGATTTAGAGCTAGGTAAATGGTTAGGGCTAGAACCACAATCTAGCCATTCTTGAAATTATCAGTTATGGCTAGAACCACAAGCCGGCCGTTGTGTAAATAGACTATATAAGCAGGCCTTTTTGGCCCCCTCTGTTCAAGCAACACCGCAACCGCTGAGCTGCGCTACAAAAAGCGGCCATTAAGCGCAGCGCAGCGGTCAATCGCTTTTCTAGAAACCACATAGCGGCAGCGATAGCGACCAACCGCTGATCAGAGCGCCTGCGAAGCGCAAAAACCGCTACACAGAATCTTGGCCCCGCGCAGCGGAGCGATTTTTTTCCGCTTTCGCTACAAGATAGCGTAGCGCCAGCGGGATAGCGGCTGGCCTCGCTTTTAATGCGCTTTTCGCTGAAAGCCTGATTGTAGGCGCTGAGGATTGAAGAAAGGGCAGCGGAGATGGCCGCTTTTTTGTGCGTCAGAGCACCATTGGCTTGACATTCAACCACAACTTCACCCAATGGTGACAGCCTATATGTATTAGAGCAAAGATGGTTAAGGTTTGTCATTATAAATTATCAGCTAGCACTAAGACTGCAGACAGCCTCGGGAAGCAAGAATTCACTTACTTTGATTGATCAATTTTATTTGTCAATCCATCCTGAAATCTAAGATGGCCCGAGACCTCACCCCAGAACAAGAAATCCCAGTCATGGAGGGTACAACTCCTTCCCGTCCCCCACCTGCAGTCCCAATTCGACAATCAGCCCAAAAGAAAGTCCCCCTGGTAACCCCTGGTTTTGTGCCTACTCAATCTGA